ATGTGCGGCTGCTCATATGTGTTGATTCAAAAAGTCTAATCCATGTTGTTCCACCTCACACGGCTCACTGGGGAATCTCATTTACACGGATTCCTTTTAACCCGTTATCTTTGCGCCACATACTGCACAGCACACGCACAAGCAAACAATATCATGCGAGTCCGCCGGGAAAGAGTGACAAGAATAAGTTCCTGCATCAGCAAGGTGCATTTTCATTCCCATGCAGCATTCCAGAGAGGCTCTGTGGGCCCACTGTGACAACTCTGCCTCCCTGCAGGTGTGGAAATGAAACCGGGCCTATAAATAGCCTGGGCAGCTGGGAGAAGAGCACAGTAGAGTAGAGGGGGGGAAGGGAAGCGAGGGGAGGAGAGTAGAGGTCCAGCTGGGGATGCAGGTGTGTAGAGGCTGACCGACAGAATATGACTGCTGTCTCACCCAGGGGGCTGCGAGAGGGGAGAGTGTGGAGCTGCAGCTTGATTTAGTTTGTAAACTGGAGAACTTTTACATTCAAATCTTACATTACGAAGATACAGAGGAAAAAAAGAGTTGCCAACGTTTTGTGGCACCATTTTGGTAAATCTGTTGTTCAGAATCAATCATCAAATTACTGTTTCCATAAAATAATAACCTTATATATCTTATTTTATCAAACTATATTATAATACATTTAAACAGCCTTTGATTTACCTCCACACCTCCAAACCTCCACACCTGACTGTTAAAAACTTTTAAAGTGAATTCTTTCAGTCTATCACTCATAGAATTTAGGGATGCTGCAGCAACACTGATTTTTCATTCTGTCTTGCCGCTAAACTTTTTTCTAACTATATGTGTTGTTTAGATTTTGTAAATTAAGACTATAGCAAGAGTTATTCAAGTCATTACATCGCAGGTTTTTTTCCAGCATTTTGTCTCTTAAAAAATGTGCAGTATGTGAAGTAAAACATGATGACATTTGCTAAACAAACCGTTATGTAGAATATAACTGTAGTGTTGGTTGGATCGTGATTGTTGAGCGCACTATGCTGTTAAATATGTATTGATTATTCTGACAACATCGATATTAGTTTAGTTGTGGTAATCCAACCTGTCTGTTAAGTGCATTTTAAGATCATTACCAGTGATGCTGAAGTTGAGTCTTGAATGACTTTTTACATGTATGGACTTACATTATCAATGCATGGTGTATATTTCAACACTGTTGGACAGGTACACTTCCCACTACATCATGTTTTTCCCCTTATTGACAGAGCTGACCGAGGAGCCAGCGTCACGTGCGTAATGATCGGTAAATCTCTTAATAAACAAAAATGTTTTTAGCTTCAGAATGGCAAAGAGTATTGAAATATCCCATCATGTTTTAAACCGGCTTCATGTCGTTTTTGGCCTTTCAGTAGTTGTTGTTGTTGTTTTTTAGAGTTTACACAGGCTCTTTGACCTCTCAGTCCTAAGACTTGATGTTATGAGGACGTATGTGGTGAGCTCTCTTTTGCCGTATCTCTGTCCTGTGACCCAGGATTAACCTGTTTTTATTTTTTTTAATTTTTTAAAGATTTATTATGTGCTTTTATTTAGATAGGACAGGTCCAACACAATGCACCATAACCTATGTTGTTATGTTTTGAGTTGGTTGCATGTGCTTTTGTGAAGCACATTCTAATGAACTACAGCTAAAACCACAAGATCTACAGTATCGAGTGGAAATAACCGTCTATTAACCTCTGACATATGCGTAAACTGGACATGTCAAACATAGGTTGAATATGTGTCCGTTGGCCCCCTTGTCATCCTCATGTCTCCTATTTAATATTGGGATATTAGTGTTACTGGCGCGTGCTGCTGATGCCGCAGGGCTGTGTGCATAGAATATCACCGTGTTGGGTTAGTTTTGTCTTTATTTTTTGATATCAAGCATCAGCTTTTAGGGCAGAAAATGTTGCTTTCATTCCCGACGGATGACTCGATATGCTTTTCATGTAAATGACGTCTAGCATTTGTGCGCTGGTGCTTGCATTAATGCATTAATTCTTCAGTACTGTATGCTTTTTTTAGCTGGAGGCAAAGTGGCACATTGTCATCAAAAAACACACTCCCACAGCTCCATGAAAGTCCCACACAGACACACAGGCACACGTTTCAGTGGTGATTGACAGCAGGAGCTCCAGCTGACCCAGTATTCTGCTACAGTGGGACGATCCCACAGGCTTGTGATTAATGACTAGGCTTTATCCGCGAGTGGGGTGGTAGGCCTGCCAGCCAGGCCACTTAGACTGCCTGGACCACTACCTCTGCTGTAAACACACTTTCTCATTCTCTGTCTTTGTCAATGTCTCTCTCTCTCTCTCTCTCTCTCTCTCTTTATGCCTACAGGCACTACATTGTCATATTCATTGCTATAGCTCTTAATCTTTGTCCCAAGTTGACCCTTCAAACAAACACAGACTGACACACACACACAGACACACTCACTCACTGTCATTAACACAGCATCAGTCCTTTTTGTTTTTATGAGTCTAGATAGCAGCAGCTTCTCATAGCACATTTCCTTTGGCATGGTCGCTGCATTAGGACACTTTCAGTAATGTTTAGTGAGGTTTTATACAGAGCTAGGGATGTGCGCGATTAGAAGACTAAACGATTTAAAGTTGTGACCCTCACTAGAATTACTAGGGGCTGTAGCTCTGGTTAATGAGCCTGCTCTCCGCCCCCCTCAGCTCAACCACTCAACCGGAGCAATGTGTAACCACATTCAGCACAGGCATTTGGATGTTGACCTGCATTGAGGACCAAAGGATAGTGATGCTCGCACTGCTCACGTTAGCCACTCACCAGTTTGACATTGTTTACGCACAGAGAAACGCACGTAGCAAAGTGCCACACATTTCAGCGACATTTAAAGTAGTCATAGGTTTTGTTGTTGAGGAATGCGATGAACTGTTTCAAACATCAAATAGACTTGAAGCAATATTGTTTTTGACCATGTTTAGCCGTAATCAATCAATCAGGCTCAATTTGACTTTTCTGAGTCTTAACTTACCTTAAGAATGGTCGACTAGTCTGAATTTTAAATTCTGTTTAATTGACCGGCAAATAAGTCACTATGAAAATCCTTATGCTATACATAAAAAGCTTTCATTTGTTTTTTAAAGAGGAATTCCTGTGTTTTCCGACCTGTTGTCATACCCTACACCATACAATCTGAGTCTGTAAGTAACTAAAGAAACTCTTTTTTTTGTCCTAACCTTTTTGTCTGTAATTGCCTGAAAGGATTACATTAGCCATGGCGTGACTGCTGATCCACTGGGGCATTTTGTTACTAATACTACCTTCTTTTGTGACATCTCAGCCTACCAGTCTAAAAAGTCTTTCAAATATAGGAATTGTCCCTTAAGGGCTCTGTTTTAACTCAGAATTCGGGAGCTAATAGTTGTATCCATGGCAACCTGTTTGTTTTTTTATTTAGTTAACAAAGAAATATCTCAGAGTGTGTGAACTGAAACTGGTCTCACTAATGGACAGTGATCCCTCACAGTGTTTTTTTTTTGCTCCTGACAGCGAGGGGCAGACAGAGCAGCATCACTAGTCTTCCCGAGCACCAGGCCTCAGCAAAACAGTAAACCTCGCAGGGATTTCTGCAGCTGTGACAGTGTCCAAACAAACTGCTTGTGCTGCAAAACAAAGCTTATTTGACTCAGTCCCCCTTGATGGGAAGCTCCCTGATAAATGTGAGGAGAGACTGTATTTCCTGCTGGAGAAAATCTCTCAAGTGGTTCAATATGAATGGGTCCTCCCAGCCTATCAAACATGTGCATGACATCAGTCCACCTTGCCAGACTCTGCAACACAATTTTTTTTTTTTTGTTTTTTTGGCTTTTGTTTCAACGGAACAGGCATTTTGAAATTGCGATGTCGGTGCTGTTATACTCTCTGACCATTTGTAACAAATCAAGAGCTGGCGTTACAGGTTGAATAGTTGATTTGTTGATTGAGGAAAGTTAAATAGCAAATCAATCTTATAATAAACAATTTGATCAGAATCGACAAAAACAATCAAATATTTGATTTGCTGATTTTGCCACCAAAGGTGAAGTTTTAGTTCAATGTTTATGTCCTGTATGAAAATGTTCTTAATATCTTTTTGTTTTTGACGTTTGCTTTGATAAAACCAACATTTCTATAGCATCAAATTGGAATTGGAAAAGTATAGGAGCAATGTGTATCGTTATCTGACATTTTATCAGCTGAGCGAAGCTAGTGATCCAAGCATAAAACCTTTGACATACTCCCTGAAACTATGCAAGGGGAAGAGCCCAAACAGCATTACAGGTACAGGAATATCACTGCTCAAACAATCTGGAAATACACAAGACGTACATCCATGCCATCTGACATGACTTGTCAGTTCATATTGTTCATGCGGGCTCTGGTGTAACACTGCGCAGATTATGTACATGCGTAGATGCTCAGTTTGGATCTTTGGATCTAAATATAGCAAAGAGAATATGATCATATCTATTTACGGAAGAGGCATTGGCATATGGCTAACATTATTATCATGCCATTTAAAGCACTCAGTGACCACTTCTGCTTTATGGAGAGGAGCATTGTCATCAGGGAAGACAATGCTCCAAGTTGGGGATGAAATGCATCATGGGATAATCTAAGTAACCACTCAGAATCATTTTTATGGTACAGTATGGTTCAGACAGAAGCATGTGACTCTGAATAGATAGTAATAATGGAGCTGCAGCATTCCTGTGTGTTTTTATCTTCTCTGTATTTTATCCAGAGTGGGTATGATTTTATTCTTGCACAGAGAAAATCTGCAAGCTGGGTTTAGTATCTTGTGTACAATGAATGTTCACTTGTCGTCGAGTGAACCCGAGCACAGCCAAGCAGAACCAGCAGCACTATTGTCTATGAGCGGCCATATGGTGGGTGTCCTTGCGTGGTAGCTTAAGGGAGCCTTTCTCCCTGAGATGAAACAATTTCATTCAGAAATGAACCTCCCATCTCAGCCCTCCTTTTTCATCAGACCCTGCCCCATCAGCCACCTCGGGGATCACACAGTGTATCATGCAGCTTGGAGCAGGGACGGCAGCCTGGACATCCCAGGTAGACCTAAACAATCTCCGTCACGTGGGCCCCTCTGTCTCCCCCTTGTCAAAAAGCCCACCCCTACTTGTCTCACCCTGCTCCGTGCCTCCAGATGTGGCTTAATTTACTGCGACTCTGCTAATTGCTGTAATTAAGGATTAATTACTGTTAATTACCTTCACATAAACTCATCACCAGTCAAAGAGCGGAGCCTTATGAAATGTGCCATGCACAGGAACACACACACCGCGGGGACTGGAGGAGGATTGTGTAGCTGGACCTCTTGTTTCATGACTTGTCCTGGTGTGTAGGGAGGGCTTGTAGGGCAACAGTTCAGGCAGGATGCTAACTGTCATGGACCATCTCCTCCTGGCTCCAAACACTTCACACGTCACCTCCTCAACAACTGCTGCCTGACAGCATCACTATGCCGCCTGCCATTTGGCTACAGGCTGGCATTTAATACCTCAAAAGTATGTAAGTATGAAAAAGTGATACATTAAGAAAATCATAGTAAGATTGTCTGCAGAAAGTTTAAAGTGTTTCTTCACATCATATATTATTAAATACGTATGCTTACTTGTTTTGTAGGATTGAACGAATCAATACCAGAATATCTAATATTCATAGGATCAGTATAAAGGCATCAGCTTCCCTTTTATTAAATCCAACAGTCTACATCTCATCTAACCTCCCATTAACAACCACAGTCGAACATTCTGTGATCATGTCAACACATTAAGATGAAGTGTAATGATGATGCATTTACCTCAGAAAATCATCACACACTGCACTCGTTTAATTCTTGGTATCGGTATTAATACTTGTGATGCTGGCCCTCTTGTATGAAACCAAACAGGTTTGGAGATGATATAATTGTGTCAATAAAATCTTTAAAGAAATGTCAACAATGAAAAATGTGCATTAAGTTGTAGTTCAGATTCTGTCTTGCTGAAGTCTCCTTTTTTAAATCGTCGCTTTGCCATTGGTCTGAATTTTTGTTCTTTGGAAAAAGAATTACTCAGAAAATCTTGTGAAATGTGATTCAATACCAGCGCTGCCAGAGCTCTCTCAAAGTTTGTGTGACCCATCATTTGTGTGTTTTGTGTCTTCCTACTCCTCCTCTGGAGAAAGACAGAGATTTCTTTGTCTCAGTCTTACAAGCTTGTGACTTCTCCTCAGATATTCAGCCACGCTGGTCTCCATTGAGGCCTGGAGCTGTTAAAACTGCATGAGCTGAGCATGAGTTTGATTCAATCAAAGACGATATGTATTTTAAGACACCTTAAGAAAGACAGGCAGCCAGGGGGCTAATGTATTGCCTATTTTGAATAATGAATTATTTTAATGAAGGCTTTTAAATGGGAGTGCTGCATGTTGGTGGCAGGGCGGTGCTTTGAATGGTCTTCTCCTCTGGCGCTGGCTGCCTCATTATCAGGCCAGCCCCTCAGGCCTCAAACTGGCCTGCTTAAGCCTCCAATGATGACGATAATTACCGTTATTAGGAGTAGCTGCAGGGGGAACTTGTTCTGAAAATCACCAAGCTGAGTTTCTTGCCTTCGCTTTGCCTCTGCCACTACTGCTGCATGAGAAACTACAGATAGCCAGTGGAGAGAGAGAGAGAGAGAGAGAGATAGAGGGAAAGGAGCTAGAAAAAAAAAAGGAGGGGATGAGGGGAGCGGCCACCAAATCCGCCTAATGTGACGCCTGTCAGCTCGTCTCCCACCAGCTGTCACCTCCCAAATGCACTAGGGTTCATTTTTTTAATTGACACCTCGCTTTCCTATTCCATTTCTATTTTTCGCCTTTCATTTTCCCTCCATCACTCTCCTCCCTCCCCGCCCGCATTGTCCACGTCTCCTCATCCCCGCCTGTCCCTCCAGTATTTCTTTGGTGTTTTTCCTTGTCCTTGGTCCTCCCCCCCCATCCCCCCACCCAGTGTCAGATACAGCGCCCTAGCTCTGCCCTCTTTCTGCACATGATACTGGAGATAGCAGATAAAACATAAAGCTGTTTTAGTGGTACTTTATGGCTATGCCCTTGTGTACTGAGGCTGTACAGCTTCCCATTATGTGGTGATGGAGAGAACAGTTTGAGCCCGAGAAAGTTTCCCAGGAGTTTATGGATACACTGTAAATCTATCTTTTGATCTTTTTTAAGTTGATTACAACTAAATACTATTTAGAATAAAATAAACTGTTCATGCTATAGACTTTCATTGTTCTTTCATGTGAGTGTCCTTTTCTTTATTACAGCACACACTCAGTTCAATAGAAATGACCACATATACAGTAAACTGAATTTAATGCAACACAATACTCATTTAGTGTTCTTGGTAATGATAATGGTATTGCTTAGCACTGTACTTTACCTCTATGATGTGGGGGAGTAAATGTAATGCAGCACAATGCTGCTCTTTATGAAGATCGCATATTAGTAGAGCTGAGTTTTGAACACTTCTTTGGTACCCTCTAAAATATATCTGTAGCTCTAAGGTTTTTATATAAGCACTCTAAAGACATCACCTTCAGGTAAATATGATTGACATTGTCCCCCATTTTCTGATATTGTATCTAGAATATGACAGATTGATAATCAAAGCGAGATTCAATAACCATTCTTGAACGGACAGATTATGATTTAAAACTTCATTTTGGTCCATCAAAGCTGAAATCCCTTGCTTCAGATAGCCAACATGATTGGTGAAACGCTTACTCGTGAAGAGTTGTGTACTGTGTTATAATTTGGATTGGAAAATTGTTAATTTAGCCAATGTAATACTCTCGCTGCTTGTGACATTTTAACGGTGAACAATGACTGTACAGATATTTTGTTTCACAGTTCTTGGTGAGTACTACTGCACATGAGAATGACGTGGTGTAAAAACAGTTTGTAGCCTCAGACAGAGCGTGCTTAGAAGTAGGATTCAAGTTTGAGGTCATGGCTTCAGTTTTCAAAAAGAAATAAATCTGAGGGTTTGGAAAGAAGAACACTTCCTGCTCTTCAACTCTTGCTTGTTGCTGACAGCTAAATGCTACACTACCACTGCTAGCGTAACACACCTACTGTAAATATGCCACTAACGCACTGGCAGACTTGTTGCATTGTGGGTAATGGCAGAAAAAGTAGATCTGTGCTTCTGCTGCAAAGATGTTGTCTGTTTTAAGTGCAGTTCTAGGTTGGTTTAGCTCTTGTTTAACAGCTTCCCATCTGGTGCTTGAGACGAGAGGTTATTTGAAGATGGGATAAAATAATATTTAAAAATTCAGCAGCTGTTGTAATGGCATACGCTTTGGTGACTGGATAAGTTATTTTATAATGATCGGCCTTACTTTAATAAACATTCAGTTCAGTAGAAATTGCCATATTTGCAGTAAATTGTAATGAATAAAACACAATATTCATTTAGTGTCCTCTGTTGTGGTGATGGCATTGCTTAGCAGTTTAGAGTGTGGGTCAGTATCAAATCTCCAACAGTGCTGCATCTTATGAAGACTTTCTCATCTCGCTTTGTGACACATGCAGATGAGAGCAGGATGCTGAACTCCCTCACAGAGCAGGGGAGGGGTGGAGGGATGGGGGGTGGGGGGGGGGGTGGGGGGCGGGTTGTATTAGTGATACTTGTCATGTCTGCTGTAGATCACGCTGCTTTTTTCAGGTTCCTAGGTTGTTGTTGTTTTGTCTCAGAATGCTGTGTGGCAGGGATGAATGGTGGTGATGTTACATTATCATGTGGCTGTCGCTTTCACTCCTGCTGACTGGTCTCTGACAGGCCCACACACACACACACACACACACACACACACACACACACACACACACACACACACACACACACACACACACACACACACGGCTGTGTCAGGAGCAGACCTGATTTATTAACTGCTGAAACCCTAGATGACGTGTTCCCACACAATCAATAGAGAGCACGGCAGCCACTCTCTGCCCCTCTCTGGGGTCATGTGATGCAGACAAGCTAAGCAAGGAAGGACAAACACACACATACACACACACACACACACACACACACACACACACACACTTATATTATATACACTACAGTGCTGCCAAGTGTATTGCATTACTGTATTGATGGGAAATGGATCCAGTCCAGCGCTGGCTGCAAGCTGCCAGTCAGAGGCAAGAAGGGTAAACTTTCATCATGGCTGTCAGGGACATCACTGCTGCCTTGTTTGACCGTAAATCTTCCTAATTGTGACAGAATACTTCAACATCATTAATTAAACATGTTTTCATTTGAAAGCACTTGCAAGGCACTATGCTGGGTGCTCAGGGTCGTTCGGCAATGTGCATAGCTGTGTATTTCTCCTGCGTGTGTGCTCATATGAGTGCTTACATTCATGCACAAAGTGAACGTTTGTGTGTGTTTGCACGCGCGCGTATGCACCTTGGTTCTCCCCTGTATGAGTGGGTGGCTTAATCGTCATGTTTATTTACACTCTTGTTGTCTGCAAACAGCAGGCAGTGCGGTGATGGGTGTGAGCCAGCTCTTAAGGAAGTAAAACAGCAGAAATTAATTTTGTCAATAAGCAAAACAAAGGCTTATTCTTAGAATTCCATTCATTATTCAGGCGGAAGCGGCTGGAGGATTGTTTATGATATGTATTCATTTTTTATGCATTTCCTTTTTTTTTGGGGGGGGGGGGGGGGTTTAGTGCCCCACATCTTAGGGAAGGAATCATACAAGAGTGTGCACAAAGGAGAAGGAGGGAAGGGAGGGAGGAAGCGACAGAGAGGGGGAATTGTGTCCTCTCATTGTTCAATTAAGTCTGTCGGTAATGATCAAGATTAGATGATGGCCATCTTCCTTTTATAGATACTAATCTGTGACTGTCCATGGAAAAAGAGAATCGCAGAGCAGCATAGAATCCATGCCTTTGTAGAGCAGAGAGTGTGTGTGAAAGGTTTTTTTTTTTGTTGTTATTTCAAGTGTTTAAAGCATGCAATGTGTTAAAAGAGAGCTCCCTTCCCTCTGTTAGGCGATTATGTTAATGTATAGTCCACAGTCTCAGAGTTCAGAACCAGCACTGCGACTGGCATGGAGGTCTAATCGATTTCATTGCTATTACTAAGCCGAAATAAATAAAGCTGATGGCTGTGGTTAGGGGTAATTATGCCACAGCACAGTGAATTGTTTGATTTTCCTTATTAATTGTATTTATTTAATCCATTTCATGCTTTTAGTTGTGCACTCAGGGACTTGGGGGGAATGAATAAATCACTCTTAGGCTCATTAGATTCCCCCTCTGGTCACGATGTGACACTATTTTGTCAGAATGAAATTGGCGAGTGTTATAATTTCCCGCTGGTGTGATTCACATGAGAAATATCCACATGTTCATCCACCAGCATTTTTTGCTCATGCACCTACTCACAAACACACACACACACGCACGCGCGCGCACACACATATGTGTCTGCACCCCCATCTGAACTCCTGACCTTTTCCAGCCGTCTGATAGCCATTGACATTTGCCTCTTGAGCTGAGCTTGCTCACGTGTTGGAGCTGATGGGAATGGATGATGTTATTGCTGGAGGAGAAAAAGAGAGGGAAAGGAAACAGGAGGAGGAGGAGATGGGGGTGGGGGAGTGGGGGGGCTGGATGGAAAAAGAAAAGGAGGACCTAGGTAGACAAACTCCCCACGCGGCTGCAGGAATCCATCTGGAGCAGAAAGGTCACAGGGCGACTCAACCTTACATCCTCATTACAAAAAGAGCCGCTGCTGTGACCGGAGACTGTGGGTTTCAATATGGCTTCACTGCTCTGTCACACAACCTGTCATTTACCCTCACTGTCTGCAGCCATCATGAAGGAGACATGCAGGATGTGGTATTAGATTGTCCAAATGAAACATTTTGATAGATGCTCGGATTAAAGTGTGTGAAAATTGTTGTGAAAGCAGCGTGATCTTTGTCTTTGTCCTTGAAGACAGTGGAAGGAATGGAGGGCTGCACCTGGTCGTCTTGTTTTCAGCACCTCTCTGGCAAAGAAGCAGGACGCTCGGCTGCTTTACCGAGGGAGCCTTCTGGTGGCAGAAAGAGGCAGGGCAGTGTGACGGATGCCAAAATAAAAATTCATATTCAAGCACCTGTGTGTTTTATTCTCTAAGATTTACCGGTAGTTAAACATTTTAGCAATGGTTGGTTTTTTTGTGTGTGTGTGTGTGTGCGAGTTCCCAGGAATAACGAGGTGTGTGCACCACTGCATTCGTTTGTGTGTACATCAGGTTGTTGTTTGTTCATGTCCAGCTCAGCAGGCCTGTCTTTATTGTGTTTACACTTCACGCTGCACAACATGGAAGCTGAGTGTCAGTTGAGAGCTGAGCGCCTGTAGGTGTGTGAAAACATGCAGGTTCAAAGCCCCAAACAAGTGTAAACAGACCTCAGTGTCAGCTGTAAAAGCATCCTTGTTTGGTTAAATTAAGATGACAGCAGTATGAATACTTCACTGGTGTGAGGGTAGAAACTATAAGTTGGTACAAGTTGGTATTTGTATACTATGAATGATCTATAAGTGTCATGTTTTGATTTTGTATGTGTACTCTTTATGCTGAAACTTTTTTTTTTCAGCTTGGATTCTTTAATCTACTTTGCGGGTGTATTTGAGCTAGGTGTCTTTGCCTTAATATGCCGTGTCTAACCTGTTATTAGGTTGTGTTTTTTTTTTTGCTTTGATAGCATCTGACAAGATAATGAAGCCATCAGCCAGAAACTAAACACAGTCTGAGCAAAAGCAGAGCAATGAAAAATGAACTCTGGTGGAGGCTGTGTTAATTCTTTTTTACATGAAATGATGGCCAGAATCGATAAAATTATAGTTTTATGGTCCGGCCTAGCTGCCAACTTCTGTGAGGCTGCAGCTTTTATTGACCAGACTTGAACTTTTGAAAATGATGGCCATATTTCAAAAGGGGTTCACACAGTTAAGACTCTTTTGAAGTTATGTAGAATGCTAATACTTTGCTTTTTTTTTTTTTTTTAAACAACCATGCATCATTGTCTCTTCCCTCTCCTCCACAGTGCTCAGTATCCGTGGTGCCCAGGAGGAGGAGCCTCCAGATCCTCAGCTAATGCGCCTGGACAATATGCTGCTGGCGGAGGGCGTGGCCGGGCCAGAGAAAGGCGGTGGGTCGGCAGCTGCAGCAGCTGCAGCAGCGGCCGCAGGCGGCGTCGGAGCAGACAACTCTGCGGAACACTCTGACTACCGAGCCAAGCTGACCCAGATCAGACAGATTTACCACACAGAGCTGGAGAAGTATGAACAGGTGGGGAGGAGGAAGACTGTTTTGCTTTTTCCGTTCTGAACTGAACTACTGTTTATTCATTATTTCATGACAGATCATGCATACCAATGAACGTATATATATGTATATAAATTCTTAATGTTCTCCCAACATCCTCTCTTCACAAATGTCCAAATTGAATTCCTCTTACTTCTTTGTTAATTTTGGAACCACTAAAAAGTTTGGCATCATCTATAGTGATGCTGGATCTGTTTGAATCGGAATACTTAACAGGGATATTAACCTTTATCAATCTTTGTTAACATGCACAAATGTTTTTGTTTTTTTCCCACTTTTATTTCCTCATTGTGGCAAACGAGATATATTATATTAATACTCTGCAGGGACCACTCCCATGGTCAGTGCTGTGTTTAGAAGTTGAGCCTGATATGTTTCCTCTAAAATCACACCATGGATAAACGCAGGAAACAAATTGAAACTTTGACTTTTTGCTTTCTATTTCTAATAAACACATTCTGCCTCGAGTTCCCCTGTCTTCTCATACAAAAAAAAAAAAAACATCCAGTTGAGGGTGATTTAAGCTGCCCCTAGATAACAGGGAGAGTATTGAGAACATTATGTTTTAACAGTTTATGTTTTGCACTGTGTCTTGCCTTATTCCATACACACCTGAGCTTTTTTTTTTTTTTTTTTTTTAGTGTGTCACCACGCTACGTACACCCCGCATGCCTATGAGTGAGTAGTGTCTGGCGTATGTGTGCAAGCAGAACGGCTGCTCTGTGCATCACTTTGACTGACGTAACCCTGGTGTTGACAAGCAACAGACACCTTGACTCTGAACGCAGTCATACCCAGTGACTGATTCAGACAGAGAGAACAAGGTAGACGGAGAGATGCAGTGAAAAGAGAGAGAGACAGTTTAAACCTCTTGAACGTTAACGGGACTGAAAGCCTGCTGTCATTTTAAATTTCTCTTCACTTGTCACATTTTCTGTGCCATTGAAAAGAAGTCTTTTTAATATTCAGAGCACTGCGAGTGTCACTGCCTCTGCCGCGTGCCTCCACTGCCACATTTGTTTGGTGTGAAACAATGCACTGTGTCTGCTGCTTTAATTTAGACTATTCTTATTACCGCTAACGCTGCTGCTGTTATATACTGTCAGCGCCGCTTCTACCAGGCCGAGGACTACCAGCGAAGGTGCAGCCTCTCCACAAATCCAATTTCTTTTCTTTTTTTCTTCAGTCTGTAGAGCCTCTGTGATAGTTATTCTTTCTCTGAATCCTGTCTGTCTGTGCATCCAGGCGTGCAATGAGTTCACCACCCATGTGATGAACCTGCTGAGGGAGCAGTCTCGAACACGACCCATCTCGCCCAAAGAGATCGAGCGCATGGTCAGCATCATCCACCGCAAGTTCAGCTCCATCCAGATGCAGCTAAAGCAGAGCACCTGTGAGGCCGTCATGATCCTGCGCTCACGCTTCCTCGACGCCAGGTCTGTGTGTGCATGCGTGCAAAAACCATGCACTACTTTGAAAGCATTTTAATCTAAATCGTTGTTTGGTTTGGCCTCTAATTCATGCACTTTAATATTACTATTTGTATTTCCTGTATTTTGTTTTCTTTCTGTTTTTAAATGCATTTAAACAGCATTTAATTCTTTAATGTTTTACTTTTGAATTGAGCTTATTTTTTATGTTGCAAGAAAACAACAGATTTTTGGTGTTCAGCAGGGTTATTTCTTAATTTCCCTTCTCCTTTCCTCTACAGACGAAAGAGGAGGAACTTCAATAAACAGGCGACAGAGATCCTCAACGAGTACTTTTACTCCCACCTCAGTAACCCTTATCCCAGCGAGGAGGCCAAAGAAGAGCTGGCCAAGAAGTGCAGCATCACAGTGTCACAGGTACCTACGATATATACAATTCTGTGTACCAAGATATTGTTTTCTTAGCCCTTCCTTTAAAAATAATCACATTCAGTGGCACTCTGAGTTCTCACCCGAGGCAGGGTTTGAGATGTTACTCTGCTTGGAGTTTCAAATAGTCGTGCTCTTATCAACATTTAGGGTTAGTAATATGCTGTTGTTGTTAATAGGATAAGAAAGTAAGCCTAACAATGGACGGGTTATTACTTAATATCAACACCAACTTGTATAAATTTGTGTGTATTATTTTTCAAAATGAATTTCTGCTTTCAATTTAGAGATGCATAGATCCTTGTGATGACTCCTTGTAAACCTGTATTAGGTGTGTTTGCAGAGAAAAGCTTTAGATATGTTATGTTTCTGTTAACCGTATCTCTATTTTTAACAGGTATCAAACTGGTTTGGGAACAAGAGAATCCGATATAAGAAAAACATCGGCAAGTTCCAAGAAGAGGCAAACATGTACGCAGCGAGGACCGCGGTCAGCGCCACCAGTGTGTCTGCTCACGGAAGCCAGGCGAACTCGCCGTCAACACCCAATTCAGCAGGTGAGCAGAGCCACAAAATTCTGGGTTATGTATTATAAAAAAAGGCTCTGTAGAAATCCATATTAGAAAATATCCTTTTTTCAACTAAGCATAAACAGAAAGAGGCCCAGTAACATCCTGATACCTGGTTCCAAACACAAATATTCAGTCTCTGCTGCCATTTCATTCAGACTCACAAGAAGCCGTCTTCTCCTTAACTAACCTGGGGATATGATGTGGCTTCTTGCACTTTTTATTCCCTTTCTTCTCCTCCTTTTCCCTCTGACTCTCTCACTCATTTTCTCTCTCTCTCTCTCTCTCTCTGCCTCTGTTATTGACCTCTTGGTCTCGTGGAAGTTAATTTTTTCCTGCCTCTTGTCCGGTTGACCTTGTGCCTGCCATTAAGCTGCTCAGAGGGCACGCCGAGTCTTCTGTCATATAGAGACGTCGCCACTGTATTGGATTAGGACCGGGTGTTGAAATCAAGTTACGCCATGGTTCTCTTTACATCTGGGGAGCTGGGGTCCATTAAAGGCCGAAGACAATTCTTTGAGTCTTCCTGTAGATCAATTATTACTTCCTTAATGAAACACTAGCAGCACGGACATTTAACAGCAACACAATCCATAAAGCTTGTTTAAACTGGACTTAAACAGTTTTATGATGATTATCTGTCTCATGGTTCTCGGTGGAGGATTTTTCCTTTCAAATTATGCTTCAGTGACATTTTAATGTGCACGTAGTGCATCTTTAGATTGCAGGTTTTGACCATAAAAACCTTCTTTTGCTCTCCCAAACTAACCCTTATAATGCGCTTTTGCTTACGCATGATCATTTTAACTCCTTTTTCTCTCTCTTCCTCCCTTACTGTGCTCTCTCTCTCTCTCTCTCTCTCTCTCTCTCTCTCTCCTCTTGTCTTCTCTTTGTCTTGCTCTCTCGCTCTCTTTCCTCCTGTCTGCCTCTGTGTTTTCTCAGGTTCTGCTGGCTCTTTTAACATGTCAAACTCCGGAGACTTGTTCATGAGTGTGCAGTCCCTCAATGGGGACTCGTACCAAGGGGGGCAGGTTGGGGCCAACATACAATCCCAGGTGCGTGTCCTGCAAGAGCCAAAGGTTGAATAATCTCAAGATTGCATATATACAGTAATTGTTCAACCACTGTCCAATCTGGGTATGCCAGGATAACTTGACCTACACAGTGCAGCAGAGGTTACTTTTAGCCTGGGGCTATTCTTTAATGTGGAAGCTATTGTCAAGCCACAGTTGAATAGACGACTGCAGACAGTTTTGGAAACGGTGCAACGCTCATCAGCGCTCCTGACAAGAGTTCACATAGCCAACGGTGCACTGTGGCTCCCTGACCTTGCCCTGGTGGACAGTGATGACCAGCACAGTGTTTCTGAGTGTTACAACTCTCACCATAGATTAAGGAATCAACACCCGCGGTGATATTCTCCTCACTCTGGCAACGTCTCTCTTTTTATCCGCCCTCCTCCCATCACAAACCCCCTTTTCTGTTCAGATCAGGTCTCCAAATGCTTTAGGTCGTTCATGAATATGCAAAGGGTGGGGGGGGTGGTGGGGGAAAGCCCTTATAGGAGGGAAAGAGGTTTACAAGGTCGGCCATTAATTAGTGAAACTCGTGTTCCTTTGAAAGGAATGCTTTTTCTGAACATGTCAGAGACGTCCTCGCTCTCAGGGCTGCACAATTAAACGAAAGCGAAAGAGAAAGCTTGGACTAAATTGGCCTCCTGAGTAGAGGGGTCTTATTTGTTGTGAAATCCATATGGCAGGTGTGTTTTCATGCATATCCAGGCGATCTGCTCTGCCAGAAGCTCCAAAGCAGCTTTCTAGTGAATCTGTGAAGAACATTGAACAGGCAGAAACTCTTGAAACAAAAATAATGTAAGATCTGATCTCAGTGACTACATATTTTAGTTGGCAGCAATTTGGTTGCTTAAAAAGAGAGGTTCCTCTTGTCATGTGTGGGTAAAAAAAAAAACAGGTCTCTATGTTGTTGCGTAAACATTCAAAAAGGGCTGTTGTAATGTTTTAATGCCTGACTCTGCATTATTATTTAACCACAGGTACAAATGCATTCATAATTAGATACTTAGCTTTCTTTTTTTATATTTTGTCCTTTTGTAACCTCTGTTATCGAGCCCCTAATAGCATCCAAATCATCCTAGTTCGCTGTTTGTAACCTTTTCCTGTTTGTGCTACCCTTTCACTATCAGACTGACCTTTCCTTGTGCCTGGCTGTCTTTGTTATACCGAGCTTTTGTCTGACCAGGCCTCCTTTGTCTGTGTGTCCCTGCTGTTCCAGGTGGATACCCTTCGCCATGTTATCAGCCAGACCGGAGGATATAGTGACAGCCTCGCAGCCAGCCAGATGTACAGTCCACAGGGCATCAACGTAAGACCTGTAAACAATCCTTTTCTGTCCTTTTTAACGTTGTCTGTGTTGTCTTATTTTAAAATGATTCCCCAGTTGCAGGATGTGTGTAATGTTGTGTGGTTCTGTGCACACACTGGGATGCCACTTAGCAGAGTTTCCCGGGTTTGGGCTGTTGTCCAGCCAGTTGCCCCCCACACCCCTCCCCTCCCCTTGCTCCAGTCGCCAGTCGTGCCCTAGGTGGCAGGCAATGAGGCAGCTACCAGGCTGAGTAGCTGGACACACTCCTAGTCTGTCGGAGGATATTAGTGTTAGCGAGACACCTGCAGTCGACAGCAACAAGGGCACAGGTGTCATCATTCCTCCCTACACTGTCCTCACTTTGGCACCATAGGACAAATCCTACCAGCTTCCTCCTTCAAGAGAAAAAGTTCCCCAGTTGCTAATTCTTGCAATAACTCGTTAACTAGCTTGTCAAAGGCGGGGCCAGATTTCTAGGTCTCCTTGCTGGGCTGGGCTGGGCTGGCAGGGCGGGACAGGCAAACACTGGAGGCAGTGCGTTAGCATGTAGATCTATAGCGACAGGCTGCGCGGGGCTGAACAGAATCAATACGACAGTCACAGGGACAGAGAGAGCGGGGCTCTGGGCTAACAGTCCAAGCACATTGGTCAGATCATTCATCTACAGGAACAGCAGCACTGACAGCCCAGCCTGCAACACCCATCGTGCTAAAAATACAGAGTCATCAAATTAGATACAACACACAACAGGCTCATCTCTCAGTGTGTTTTAATATTTCAAAAAACACTTTAACAAGAGATCAAAACTTAAACTAATCTTCCAGACAAATGTTGTTAGGAGTATTGGCTTGAAAAAAAAATATATATATTGTAATTAAATTATAGACACAAAGTATGTATATGCCTCTCATGTATTACAAAAAGGTTTGAGTCACAGAGCAAAGCATTGAATACTCTTTAAGACAAAACTTAGTCATCTTTAATAAAACCAGGAGGTTGTTTCATATAACTTCACACTTTTCTGAAAGTATTCCTGGAATTCTTTAAGACTCTTTAAACTCAGGGGTTGAAAAGGTTCTGTTTATTCCTCAATACAAAAAAAAGTTTCAATTTGACAATTTTCCCAAATCCATACGAAGATAGCAGCCAGAAGGTAAAAACTTTGTTCAAATATTACAACAAAAAAAAGTCTGAAGAATTATTTTATCGGTATAAATTGTTAATAATTGTAACGTTTTATTCTAAATGTTTTTGGCCTGTCTTTTTTTTTTTTTCATGAAGGACTTGATATAACAACAAAAAAAAGAAGTAATTCCCATCTGGATGGTTATTTGGACTCTAATAACTCTGGAAACATCTTAAGACAAGATGAATATGATGTATTAATGACCTGATCCTAAACAAGTGTTTATAGCTGTTACTAAAGAGAGAGTGGTAAAAGCGGGAGTAATTAATTACCTTACACTGAATTACCGTACAATCCGATACAGTTTATCCACATATCTTATGATACAGTGTCTTAATTGAAACATTCAAACTAGAGAGATCAACCAATAGTTTAACCAATCAAATGACTCCTGGTCCAGTCTGAGTCTCTGCAGTCATCTTTCCTCACTTAGAAATGAGCCAACACAAGAAATAAAATCTTGTGCAGCAATGACTTTAAAAAGATACTTATCAGACATATTGTGACTGTTTATATCAAATGTGTTTTAGCAGCATCTCATTGCCTTAGGAAGACATATTAATAAACATTCACATGGTGACAGATAAGCACATTTAGGACTCGTAAATTAAGTGTTGATGCCTGTAGTTGTTGTTATTATTATTTAGCCCATATACTATTTTTCTCTCTCTAAGATCTACTGAGTGAACTCTCGTGGTTCACCTCTTTATCCTTGAACAGCAATTACCATCCTCAAATTGCTGGTGGGTGTTGCCTCCCTCAAAGACTGATTTTTTTTCTCTCCCTCTCCAACTCTCCTCTGAATAAGATGACAGACAGTCTTTGCACTAAATAACAGGGTTTGAAAATAAGAGGCTGCCAAAGCACGCTCCCAGCTCTCACTAACAGCGTGCAAATGGCAATTAATGTCTTTAATGGTCTTTAGTCAACCTTTTATCAGGATTTTAGGGAGGCCTCTACTTGAAGGAACATTTTTTTTTTATTATTGTGATAATTTATTCTTTTATCAAACATTTTGAGATATATGAAAGGCATATTCTATTTCATCTCCTGTTTATATCACATCTAGTGAGCTGTACAGGGGAAGAGATGAGTTCAGTTTATAACTTTGAAGTAGCCGTTGGATAAACATCACTTCTGTTGAAGATCTCACTATATTTCATTTAAGCATTTGAATTGTGTTTTGTTTTCTATTTAAGGACTAAATTAATCGACTAAGGGTAAATATTTATAATAAAGAGTAAGAAGAGGATAAAAAACATTTCCATCTCATTTTGTTCTGTGACCAACATTTACTTCTTTCTGTTTTAATTGCAGTGATTAAGTGATTTCTATCTCTTAGCTTTTATATCATGCTTGGAACAAGTTTGTGCATGGTGCAAAATATATATGGTTACTTTTTATATGTCCTTGTTTGAACCGCAGTTATCTGGTCTGCTGGATATACACTATAACAACATCTTCCTTCTTTGAGTTCAGTCAGATTCTGCTAGCTCTTAAGTTGTCTCTTAAATCCAGCTGCATACTTCTTCCTTTCTTTCCTTGATGTCGTGATGTTTGCTGTTGAGACCAAGACAAAGTGTTTAGAGAGATACAGAAGTAAAAACTACTCAACCACCTGTGTTAGCCTCTGTGTCACTTTCCCACCCCAAACACAGCAGTTTTAACCCAAGAGGTAAAAAATCAGTTTTGAAGTTCAGCTCAGTTTAGCAAATAGCTAAATGTCCTCAAGCGTGAATAAGAAGTGCATTAACTGGAGACTATTTTCACCTGCACACATTTAGTGTTCTTGAGAACGTTTACAACTAGGGCTGCACAATTAATATCAATTTCATCTTCATCCGGATTTAAGCATTACGCAATAAACAATCTGCAAAAGTCTATATTATCATCACAACAAAATATTTAACAAAATGTAGTATTAGGTAAACAAGTTATGCATGTATAGATTTTACCCATTGGATGATGCACCAAGTTTAAAGGTCATGCTTTCACACCGGAAGAATTTCAATCTATCTTTCAGAAAATATCAGATGAATTGGTGCCAATTCATTGGTGAAAAAATGCTTTTTGATTGATTTCAGATTCAGGGGAGACGTGTTGCAACATGTGTGAAAAATGAAGAACAGCAGACAGACATATATACTGGAAATGATGGCCTATAGTACCCCTTTAATATTTGTTATATTATTTATTGCACATCATATCGTAATCACAATATTCAACTAATTGCACAATGAATAGGTTTCTCATACCGTGCAGGAGGTTTTTTTTGCACAGTATGCTGGATATATTCATAATCATTTTGAGTGATCTTAGAAATGAAATTCAATTAATTATGTTGTGCAACAAGAAGCAACTTGTGTCCACCAGCAGTTATTTTTCATGGGATCAATTCAGTGTCTGTACTGTCTTCATTTGTCTATACTGTCTTTATATGTCTGTACTGTCTTTATATGGCTGTACTGTCTTTATATGTCTGTACTGTCTTTATATGTCTATACTGTCTTTATATGTCTGTACTGTCTTTATATGGCTGTACTGTCTTTATATGGCTGTACTGTCTTTATATGTCTATACTGTCTTTATATGTCTATACTGTCTTTATATGTCTGTACTGTCTTTATATGGCTGTACTGTCTTTATATGGCTGTACTGTCTTCATTTGTCTATACTGTCTTTATATGTCTGTACTGTCTTTATATGTCTGTACTGTCTTTATATGGCTGTACTGTCTTTATATGGCTGTACTGTCTTTATATGTCTGTACTGTCTTTATATGTCTATACTGTCTTTATATGTCTGTACTGTCTTTATATGGCTGTACTGTCTTTATATGGCTGTACTGTCTTTATATGTCTATACTGTCTTTATATGTCTGTACTGTCTTTATATGGCTGTACTGTCTTTATATGGCTGTACTGTCTTTATATGTCTGTACTGTCTTTATATGGCTGTACTGTCTTTATATGGCTGTACTGTCTTTATATGTCTGTACTGTCTTTATATGTCTGTACTGTCTTTATATGGCTGTATAGCCTTTGTATGGGATTTAATGTTGTAAAGAAAACTATAATTTTCCTAAATTGTGACCTGCCGGGGGACTGCAGATGTAAACTAGCTCTAAGCTAACTCTGGTACAATGCATTAAATGGCAACATTTATGAGTACATGGTCCCTTTATAAATAGAGAAGTGAAATAAAAATAACATTGTCCTCAAAGACAAATCTTTAACCATGTTGTATCTTAATGTTAAAGATGTTAGCATGAAGTTAATACTTCTCTGTGTCGCTTCTTCACAGACAAACGGTGGCTGGCAAGATGCTCCGACTCCTTCGTCAGTGACATCGCCCACAGAAGGACCCGGGAGTGTTCATTCGGATACTTCCAACTGAATACATCCATCTCCACAACCTCATCGACACATGAAAACATGGACTGACCTTCCTATTCACAGTATTAAACAAAGGAGTTTACTGACCCACAGTTTGGAAAGGTACTGTGAAATCCTAACTAGAAAAAAACAACAACATTTTCCTCTGAGAATCACATTGGACATTTGGGATACAAACACAAAGTTTCACAATAAAACTCCAGAAAAATACCGCAATCAATGAAGACGTTTGTACAGATTTCACATTATATTCAGAGGGCTGGGGTTACTTCTTCGCTCATAATGTTTTCACTCATAATGTTGAAATGTTATGATAAAGTAAATAGATCCAGTCATTGGTTTTAACTGAAAATACTTCATTCTACCTCTCAGCCACTAAAAAAAGTAGAAAAAATGTCAGTGACCATTATTTCTTTTGTAAAAATGAAACTTTTGTCTTTGCAAGCAGGAGGCACATCTTCTTACTTACATTTTGTTGTCTCTCACCTATTCTATGGTACGCCATTTAGACTTAAATATTGCTCAGTTGTTTACAAATGTGTGCTTGATAAAAGTATGTTCATCTTCCCCGCTGTCTCCGACAAGTCAAAACAGAAGAGATTTGACCTCCAAGGTAACCCTGTGAAGTATGTTATCTGTAAAAACAATAAAGAAATACTTGTCATCAGATCCACAAGCTTCACATTATTCATTGATGAAGGTTGAATTATCTAAAATACTAATTCATTTTCCATTGTTGGTTTTTTGTTCTGCAGCATGATGGGAGGAGCTTTGTCCTTTTTTCTCTCTCTCTCTCTCTTTGTTTTTTTAACTGACTTTTATACCGGTGTGTGATACTTACATTTTCCACCAACGCTGCAACAGAAAGAAAAAAAAACAAGATGCCAAAACGCTGATGTAACCAAAACAACCTGTCAGAAAAATATTTCAACATGAAGTCAGTTATAATGTATTCTTTTAACCGATGTATATAAGAACAATGTCATTTACTACTCATTTAAACTGTCACGCGCTGCCATTTAGCTCTGCTGATAGAGAAAAGATCCCTTTTTACAGAAAAGAAACTTTGTCAAGAACGTCCGTAACCGAGTTTGTCTTTCAATATATGAACCACAATCCACTTAAACATGGAAGTCATTATGCTAATAGAGTTTTCTAGGCTTACACAGTGGATCCTACAGCACAGGTCCAGAAATTCTTCAGCATTGAGGCACTGATCATCCTCATGACAGAAGCATCTGGATGTACCTGAGCTGCTGCTGGAAAAATAAATAAGGTGAAAAAGCTCCAGAAACACTTGTAGTACTAAGATCAACTTTATTAACTTTATTAGACCAACATAATTCGGCTTGTGGCCTTCATCTGGGTCATTTCAAATGTTCCTCACCTTTTTATCACTCTAGATTTGACATACAAACACACATAGACGTTTGGAATCATGCTCGTCTCTGACTATTAAACAGATTTTTCTCAGCATTAAACATTTATGATTATAAATGTTAGCTATTAAGCACTAAAAATGAGGAAAGTCATAATGTCAAAGAATGTGTTTTTTTATGCAGCCTAGCGTTGTTAATATACACTTTTATGTTGTGTGGCCATTTTTGTAGTTTATTATTTTTTAAGACATGTTAAATGTAGGCTGTTGCTTTTTGTTTTCCTCCTCTTGTGACTTATCTCACAATCTTCTAACATTTGTTAATGTGCACCATGGTGCTTGAATTGCTTTGTTGAAGGGTTTGGACTCATTAAAAATGATATGTAATACAGCCAGATGATACACCAGCGTTCTTTAATGTGTAGTTTTACAAGAGAGCAAAGACTTTTTGCAGGTTGTTCTATGTCCCATGAAGGCATCACTGGCTCGACGGTGATCGCGGTCGCTGAAAGTCAACCAAGGTTAGTGACTGCCAGTAGACATCAACCCTTTTATGGCTCTGCATGCGTGTCTCTGCCTTCCATTATGGCTCCTGTCCAACATATTAGTGTACATGCACTCAGACGAGCACTCAAAAAAAAAAAATGAAACACTTGAACACTGCACCACACTGTGTTTTTGTAACAGGAGAGACATCAGCGGCTGACACTAGAAAGAAAAAAAAGGCCGTTCAAAGTCATTTTGGAAACTTTTCAATGTGTTTTGACTGTTAGAGAAGTATTTGGGAAACTAAAACTGCTTCTGAGATACTTTTATATTTTTGACTTATGTTTCAGCAAATAAATATTTTTATAGTAATAATCTCAAAATCAAAGTTTTTTTTCATTCTCAATATATTTATTAACTCTTTAAGGGCTTGAGATTTTTTTTGTTTTTGTGGTATGATCCACTAATCCCCCAAAAATGCATTTGTTTGTTCCTCAACAATTTCAGACATGCTTACAATAGCACTCAACTAGACAACAATTAGATATGATGTGAATTTAAAAAAATAATCTCAGATGAAAGAAATGAAGAAAACAACTCACAACCATATTCATTGTCATTTTTAGCAAACAGCTAAATACCTAAACCTAATTATTGTATTTTTAAGGCTCTATTTTCAGCTGCAGGTTCATATCAGGTGCTCCTCTTGCATCAGGAAGGTTTTCTGTGATTGATTTTATATAAACCTACACAATGTTTCTTTTTTTACTAGTGAAGGGACATATTGCTTAGTGCAAAACATTTTTTGAACAAAGTCCATGACAGGAAATAAATACAATTGTGCTTTAATAAAGACAAAAATACACCAAATATTTTATGTCTTTCAACATATCAAAATGTGATGATAAAGTATAACTAGGTTCACGTCCTTGTGAGTTACAACAAACAGCAAAGCTGACACTGCCTGGCGAGACAGTTACATGTCCAACAGAATTACTTTCACAGCAGCTGAATATTCATAATCGTCCAAACAACAGGGGCGAGGGGATGAGGGAGCAGTTGGCTGCGGAGTGTGCGGATGACAACGGTCACAGGCCTTGACTGCTGAGCGAGTGTGAAATGCCAAAGCCAGACTGCTCCTCTGTGCCTGCAGGGCAGCGAAGAAGCCGGGGCCTGCTCTCACCATCAAAAACAATCTGACAAGACTTCATTTGGAAAAAAGAAGAAGAAGAAAGAAACGTCTCCTGGCTCCTGTGCTTATAATTCTCAAAACATCTGAAATAATAACAAATTGTGGAAACAGCTGTGTTGGGAATGATGGGTGTTTACTGACTTTTTTTAAGGTTCCTTTTTATATGAGTGTCGCTTTTACACATTAGGAATGTTGACACTGTGCAGAGTGATTGAAATGTGTTTCTGTTGACATCTGCCGCCCCAGCTGTCATTACACCAATGTTTATAATTACAGCTTCAGCAGAAAAAGAACGGGTGGGGAGCCCGGACACCTTGTCTCCCCCTCTCAGCCGAACCCGGCACAAGGCTCTAATGTGCAGCGACAGAACAGCCCAGACCCCGCTGCTGCTGCTGGACTATCTGACCACATGAGCCCCTTCAAAAAAATCCACTTATTTACACACTGTCACACACAGATTATTAAGAACATATGAGACTGTGTATCATGAGATTCTCCTACATTACAGACCATCAGGTCTTTCTTCTTTCTGTTTTGGCTAACAAGATGAGACAACAGGGTATGGAAATCAGAAATGTGGGAAATCAGATGACAAAATGATTAGATTAGAACAAAAGCAGAAGAGCTGGAAGTGACAGAATATCTCCACAAGATGGGGATATAGTCACTTTTGCACACAAAAAAAAAATCAAAAATGTTTAGGTTGTGTGGTAGTTGAGTTGTATTTAATAATTTTAGTGAATTACTTTCTTTGCTCTGAACTGACACTATTAGAAATTCTCACTTATTCGTTTTTTTTTTACCAAATACAAACATTTGTCTTATCTTATGCATTATTATGAAATCCTGTCTGGGTCATTTCAAATGTTCCTGTTGTGACATTTTCATTTGCAGAATGCAGTGATTTTTGAGAAATGACTTTGGTATGTGGTGAGTCTTCATTTGAGATAGGTGCACCCATGTAAACAAGTAGGCCTACTACAATTGTTCCTCAGTAGCAATGGACATCAGTTTTACTTCTTCAACACAGCTGCTTCTAAAACACAATGTATTGTCATGGATATACTGTAACATTTGACCCTTGACCCTTTATTTACAGTTTGCTGTTCATATATTTATGTCCCTATAAATGCTTATAACTACACTGCCATAGAATAACTACCGTAACGTTGAATACTTCTGTCCTTTATGCACACAGAAAACTGTTTAACTTTGACTGTCCTTTCGAATCTAACTTCAGGACTATTCCATGTAATGACACATTATTAGATAGCTGGAAACGTGTTAGAGTCTGTCTGTGGATGGTAACATGTCACGGTTATGTTGCCTCTAGTGGTCTCAGAGTTGTATTACAGGACAAAGAGAGGTGCGCACACAGTTCACATTTTTTCAACCCCGATGCTCCTCCTCTCTCCGCGCTGTACCCAATCCTCCTCACAACTCGTTCCACAATTTTGCTAACAAACAAGAACCTCTTTTTTTTTTGTGGCGGCGGGAAAAAACAACATGGCAGATCTTGCAGCCCAGCCCAAGGGAGGAAGCGGCGGGATTGTGGTAATTTAATAAGAAAACACGACAGGGAATGCAGAGCAAGTGCTGCCTGGTGGTGCTAGCAGTGCAGGGGAAAAAAAAAAAAGTTTACTCATTCATGGATGCACACACACACACACACACACAGGCTTCTGCTGCTTCGCATTCACATTAATCTGCATATTTAGAGCCACAAATGTGTCTTAGGCTCATGTTGAGCCGTCTTATCAAATGTCGAGGCGATCAAAAAAAAAAAAAAATAGTGATGTGTTAACTGCAACATAATGTTACAGTTTGTTTCCCCTCTCTCAGATCGACGATGATTGGCCGGGCTACAGTTTAGACCTGTTCAGCTACCCTGCTCACTACTCCGGAGACCTGGATTGTGTCGTCATTCCGCATGGCGTCATCATGGACAGGTACAACACTAAACCAACAAGTCTGATTACCTTGTTGAGCTTCCCAGACGTTTCTGCTCCTGCTTCTCTGGGGTTGCGTAAAACGTGCCTCTTGATAATAATAATAATAATAATAATAATAATAATAATAATTAGATTTATATATTGCTTTTCTAAATTCTCAAAGACGCTTTGACAGGAAACAACAAAAAAAAAAACAAAGCAAAAACTGAGAGAACAATACAACATAGAAGTAGTGTCAAGGGAAGAGGATGAGAGTCAGTGGTTGTAGGCGGTGATGAAAAGATGAGTTTTTAGGGATTTCTTGGAGGAAGTGAGTGTGGGGGAGTCTTTGATGTTTTTAGGGAGAGAGTTCAAGAGGGTGGGAGCTGCAATGGAGAAGGCCCTGTCCCCCCAGGACCGAAGGTTGGGGGGGGGGGGGGGGACAGGAGGTTTGCATCCGCAGACCTGAAAGTGCGGGTGGGAGTGTGTCTGTCGGTGGAGGAGCTCAGACAGGTAGGGAGGGAGCCAGGTTGTGGAGGGCTTTGTAGGTGACGATGAGGAGTTTGAAGTGTATACGCTGGGGGGATGGGGAGCCAGTGGAGGTCATGGAGGACGGGGGTGATGTGATCTCGGGTGCGGGAGTGTGTGAGGAGACGAGCAGTGGAGTTCTGAATGTATTGAAGTTTCTTGAGTGATTTGGATGGTGAACCGTAGAGGAGCCTGTTGCAGTAGTCTAGTCTGGAGGTGATGAACGCGTGGGTGAGGGTCTCGGGCAGCTGAGAATGAGAGTGATGGGCGGAGGCGGGCAGTGTTTCTGAGGTGGAAAAAGGCTGTTTTGGTGATTTGTTTGATGCGTTTGTCGTAGGAGAGGGTTTGGTCGAAGATGACACCAAGGTTACGGATGTGGGGGGGGGGGAGCACTGTGGACTTGACAGTTCTCCAGGACTTGTGAAGTTTAAGGGAATATTGTGCGTCCATCAAAGCTTGATCCAAAGACAACTGGACTTAATTGATGATCTTGAAAACCTTTAACCTCTCCTACGAAAGGCTCGATCAATAGCATGCTGATGAGACATTTCTAGCTCAATCCAGCTGCTAGTTTAGAACTGAAGAAGAACTAAAGGAGAGGTAACACGCCTTTAAGATCTTCAGTTACTTTGGATCAAGCTTTGATTTACCATGACCCGAATGAGAACCTACACGGACAAATATCATATCATTGTACATTGTGACTGGTACGACGAGACATATTATCTTCAATTAAATTATTACTGTGAAGTTTTGAAAGAAGCCCACAAATTAAGCAGACAGACCCAATATACTATAATAAACTATATTACCGTATAATCTAATTTAATATTGTAACTCTGCAACACAGTACTTTACTTTGTGTATTCATAAGTGATACATAAAGTGAATGAGTGGTCAACTGTTGGAGAAGCAGTGTGTGATGTGCTGTGCATGTTAGTATAACCAAAGCCTTTTTCCAACAACACTTCCTTCAAGGGCATTAATGGTTCAAGAAGGTATTACAATTGCACGTCAGCATTTACAATCTAAAATTCTGTGCACAAAAGCATCCATGACAACAGACAAAACAGTCAGTTTTGTTTTATTTGTAACATGCAATGCTAACATTAGGACAGATTTTCCGTACAGGGTACATTTACCTGCAAACCCCTGCAGCTGTAAACGTTTGACCTGAAATACAAGACCACAACTCTTGAGTGTTTAAAAGAAAGCTCTTTTTTTTTTCAAAATCATTTCCAGGACAGAACGTCTGGCTCGAAACATCATGGATGACCTCGGGGACCATGACATTGTGGTGCTGTGTGTGCTGAAAGGAGGATACCAGTTCTGCGCAGACCTGGTGGACAGGATCAAGGCCTCAGCCGAAACTCCGACCGCACCATCCCCATGAGGGTTCACTTCATCCGCCTGAAGAGCTACCTGGTGAGCCTCTGCACACCGCTGATACACAGACAGCTATCAGACATTCGTTCACTGTTTGACCTGAGTGACGTATGTGAGAATTGAGATGCAGCCTTCATGCTTTACTTTATCAGCCATGATGTTTCCCTGAGTCCCATGACTCAGTCAGAAGATGTGTTGAGCTATGTTTCATACAGCGTTACGACAGTGCTATCTTTGTGTTACTTTTCTTTGAATGTGCTCTTTCATGTGGCCACCATGAAGATCGGGAAGAGGAGAAAAATACCACTGAAATAAGAATAGGGACATGATATTATATGATTAAGCTGAACTTTAAACTTAAATTCATAATTTGTTTCAAATTAAAGAGATGACTCCTGGGCGCCAGTTTGGCTAGCGGTTATGTCCCACCCCATGAACAGAGGTTACTGTCCTCGCATGTTGCATGTCATTCCCTCTCTCTCTCTCTCTCTCTCTCTCTCTCTCTCTCTCTCTCTCACTCCCTGACTTCCTACTCTATCTATTGTCTCGTCACATAAAGGCATAAAATAATTAAAAAACCCAGAGACGATCCTGACCATAAATGAGATAACCATTATGAGAAGTACCAAAGTAATGTAGTCCTCTAAAATAATGTCCTTTACTTTTCGAACTCACTTTGCATCAAATAAAAAAAAATGTATAGCCACATTATCTGAGATATTGTATTATAATTTATGACATATACTGTATATTTCTAAAAGCATAATTATAAACTCGTGTAACCTATCAAACCATGCAACAAATAAAACTTGTATCTTTTCTTTATCCTGCTCTCTTACCTCCTCAGAACGACCAGTCAACAGAGGATCTTCACATACTCGGAGCAGAGGATTTGTCTTTTTTAGCTGGAAAGGTAAATTACTCTTCTCACCAACCATCAACTGAGCACAACCTTGTTTCTAGAGCAACTTTTCTTCAAACAAGCAGCTCTGAGTGCTTGAAATACAAAACAAACACGTAAAATATAAGAGAATAAAAGACAACAATCCGTTAAACTTTGCAGGGCTCAACATGCACACAAATCAGATAAATACTTTTTTATACAATAAATGAATAAAAATCAGTGTGTAAGTGTAAGTAACACTAAACCAAAACAGGGGATACAACATGTAAATAAATGCAATAATGACAACAAGGACGCAGGTTAAAACATAACTTCAAATTAAAGTTGGATCAATAAGAAAGGTCTTAAATTTCCTTTTAAACATGCAAAGAGAACTTAGCCTTTTTATATCCAGAGACAGTCATTTGAACAGTTAGGACATAAACACAGAGGGTTCTGCTGGTTCTTCTGTGGCACATACTTATTATATCACACCATTATTCACTGCCTGACTTTTAATAGATAACAGCCCTGGAGTCCAGTGAAGCATTACTTTAAGCTTCATTCTTGTATTACTACATTTTACTGGAAAAAACAGAGACTGCCAAGTGACCTGGTGGGTGTTGATAGATGTTAGCCTCCAGAGGGCAGCATTGCTTCTCCTTTCCATCTTTAAGAAATGGAAGGAGATCAAAGATGGCAGTTTCTGACCACCCAACGGTGATCAGATGCAAATTGTAGTAAATCGATTGTCATAGGCCTCTTCACTTTACCTCAGAGGAGACAGTTTGTGTGAGTGAGAGGATTTATCTGCTTTCTTGGTGGATGACAGTCTATTTGTGACAGACTGACTCTTCATCTGCTTCTATTGATATCGTGTCAACAACATCAGAGCACAATCTTTGTGGAGGCTTTTTCTTTCTGTGTTGTTGTTTTTTTTGTTGCTGTTCCTACAGTTAACCATCGGGTCAAATTTCCAACCAGATTCCCAATAAATGGTTGGCCACACGATGAATTAGACTGATAAAATAAGATCGTTTTAAAATAAGGAATATATATTTGGATTACAATAATAATAGATTTCTTAATCTCTACTTTTATTTGGGGGGGGGGGGGGGGGTTCTGATGAAATATGTTTTACTTTTACTTTAAAAGTTAGTCAAATAAATCAACAGATTAAATATGACCCTTTAGTTAATGTTCTTCAAACTTGCATTTCTTTATGTTGTTTGTACAGCAAGATGTAAAAAAACAACAACAACAGAAACTGTGTGCGTGTGTGTGTGTGACTCCACTACTAAAGGAGTCAGTGAGAGTATGTTTTAAGTAATATAAATCAGCTGATGTGAACACTTACGGACACACACAGCCTTAGTTAATGTTCTTCAAACTTAATGACAAGGAGACCTTGCTCTGTGTGAAGGAGCTGCAAGCAAATAGCTTATTCACTTATACTATATCTTTTGATAATAAAACATTTTATACAAATTGCATTTGGTTTATTTTGTTTGTACAGCAGATGTAAAAAAACAACAACAACAGAAACAGCACTTGATTGTGTCTGTGTGTCTGTGTCTGTGTCTGTGTCTGTGTGTCTGTGTCTGTGTGTGTGTCTGCGTCTGTGTCTGCGTCTGTGTGTCTGTGTCTGTGTCTGTGTGTCTGTGTGTCTGTGTGTCTGTGTCTGTGTGTCTGTGTCTGTGTGTGTGTCTGCGTCTGTGTCTGCGTCTGTGTGTCTGTGTCTGTGTGTCTGTGTGTCTGTGTGTCTGTGTGTCTGTGTGTGTCTGTGTCTGTGTCTGTGTCTGTGTCTGTGTCTGTGTCTGTGTCTGTGTCTGTGTGTGTCTGCGTCTGTGTCTGCGTCTGTGTCTGTGTCTGTGTGTGTGTCTGCGTCTGTGTCTGCGTCTGTGTGTCTGTGTGCACAGACTACTACTAAAGGAGTCAGTGAGAGTATGTCTTAAGTGATATAAATCAGCTGATGTGAACACTTACGCACACACACACACACCCTTAAGCTGATCACACACTCACACATGCACGCAGTAATGTTCCCTGTAGCGAGGCGTGGCAGAAATGCCTGAAACATGAATAGGATATGAGGTAGTAAGCTTGAGTCACTGCCAGCTGCTTTGCTCAGTATTTAAATTGTGAGTGTGAAATCCCAGAGCTCCCTGTGATGTACAACTAAATTTAGCCGCCTTTTTGTACCACAATGCTGCACTGTTGGTGGAAGAAGTGAACTAATTGAATGACAAGGACTGTGTTCTACACACTAGCTTTCCCTCTCTGTTTTCTTTGCTATATAGCTTATTCCTTTTGTATTTCTCCAGGGTTTACTGCACTCTAAATAAATCTGTGTGAACAATGAGGCTTAAACAAAAGCATAAGCACATGCTCGGCTAAATCCTTTGTTTGAAAAGTAGAGTACAGTGCATAGAGTTCCATGGCAGCTAAAGGATTTTTATCTTTAAGTTGACCTGAGGATCACTCACAATAAATAGTGCCCGGTTAACTCAGTTTGATTAGACAAGCATGTCAGCTATTTCATTGACATTTAAAGACGGACTGTAAGAGCCAAGGTTTCCAATCTGGACGAGGCTTTGGTCTGCTTCTTATCAGAAGTGAATCGATGATGTCTTTTCAGTTCAACTTTTCCTTCAGTTTTCTCTTACTCCGCAACAACAACAAAACTTTCAGTATGTGCTAACCCTTTTTATTGTTAAACATATAAACAAATGTAATTTAGGCTTTTTTATCTGAGTTCATCTGCGTGTCTTATCTTGGAATGCGTGTGTCATCGATGAAAAGATACAGTCGGTTTGTTATCTGCTCATGAACAGGAATAATTGTTTGCTTCCCTCCCTCTCTTCTCTCCCAACATGCTCTCCTAAGAACGTACTGATTGTGGAGGTGAGTCGACCGTTTTATTTTACGCTCTGCCTTTTTTCCTCTCCACTGGCCGATTGTATTTTTGTTTATCTTCAATGGCTATCCAGGTCATGGGGAGCCATTTAAAGTTCTTTCCTTACAACTGAACCTGAGTTTAATATGAGGAAACCTCTTGGTTGGCTGACCTATTTGGGGGAAATAAGAGAGCTGCTTTTTTTTCTCCAAATGAGAATGAACTTTCTCTTGTCAGAGAAATCATTGATTCTTGTCTGAGGAGACAAGAATGGAAGAAAATGACATTTTCAGAAACAAAATCCACAATTATAACAGAAGTCACTGGTCAGTTCCCAAACATCTGTGACTCTGCCCCTGAGCCATTTATTGACTTCTATTGCAATAGGTAACGGTAAGTTTTCTATTGTAGACTTTTAAATTAGTCTTTTTAACAAGCTTTTATTTTACCAATGATTGGAAAATAACCAATTAAAAGCTGCTTGCAAATACATTTTCCAAAATCTAGCTTATGGCATCGTCATGTATAATGTGAATGTGAATGTAGCTGTCACAATAATAAGTCAACTGCAGAGTCAACTCAAAGGAGCATTTGTTACATTTTACAGCTCTTGGTTTTGATTTTACAGTGCCTTTCATCCGCGAGGTTTTTAGCAAAATGAGCAACCAAGTTAGCAACTAGCTAGTTAGAAAAGTAAGTAGCTAAAGAGCTGGATATTCCCCCCCCCCCCCCCCCAAAAAAAACTTCAGTACAACTAAAGAAACGTTAATGATATTTATCAGGCGAATAAGAGATGATGGCAAATTAATGCTAAAGTTGCTGAACTGTTTACGAACATAAAACATTTTACATTTATATGTGTCTGTTGTGTTTTGCAAAGGAAATAAAAAAGTAATGATTAAAGGCTACGTTTGATGCAAATACACTTTACCATGGTTTTCTAACACTAATATGTGTCCCTAAAGCCTTTCTACCAACCACCCAGTTATGAGAAAAGTCCATCCTCTTCGTCTTTTACCTGCTCCACTCTTCAGAAAATGTGTGCTCAAACAGGCCGCCAGAAAGTCCAAACCACCCCAAGCCCTTCCAGAGGGGCGTGGTCAGACACAGCTCATTTACATTTAAAGCTACAGACACAGAAACTGAAAAAGAGGGGTTTATAGGGACGGATCAGAGTGGATTTTTAGATAAAAATTTCACAGACATGTTTTTGGGAGCTCTGAGACTTGTTTAAACTGGTTTAAAAGGAGGATAGTATGTGACCTATAAAAGTCCATCCTGTATTTTAAAAGGAAGAGAAGAAGACTGTATGAATACTGAATGGTTTCAATCAGGATGACTAACTCTCTCTTGACTGGTGACCATATGTGAGTCAGGAAAGTATAATTGTGTAAAAGCCTTTAAATACATTAGAACATTAACATGGAAAACTAAAGCTAGGTCCTACATAGGCAACACTTTTTTTCCCTTTTTGTGTTCTAAAATAGCACAAAAACAATTAAGAGCTTTTTAATACTTCTAATTGATTCACATTTAAGCACAAACACTTTGTAAATGAAAAACAGGACATTCCAGCAGTCTCTCCTCATGTTTTTCCCTCTGCTCATACCCTGTAGCAGGTCAAAAATTATAGCACAAGTATGTAATTACAATATGACGGTCTTGCTGACCTACATTTACTTGACAAGGATGACAAAACAGACTCTTGTGGCTTTGTTCAACCACCACACGTACCTCTTCCAAGAGGTCAGAGATTTTAGAGTAAAATATCACTGGATGGTTTAAACTTCCCTTTTTTTGTCACTTTTTTTAAATAAATAGTTATGAAACACAAATCCAGTGTGACCAGCTTCTTCCTTTTCACTTCTACTCATGCATCAGATTTTTTCTGCATTTCCGTTTTGACATTCTTCTACTTTCTTAATCCAGTTTGTCTATCTTTCCTCCTCCCTTCGCAGGCCATTGTAGGCACCGGAAAGACAATGAAGGCTCTCCTGAAGCATGTTGAAGCCTTCAGGCCCAAAATGATCAAAGTGGCAGGGTAAGTTGTGGCTGTACAGACATCAAAACCAAACCAGCCCACTTTTGCTGCTTTGTGAATCAGTCAATTTCCGCTTTCCAGTCTAGACAGGGGAGAAAACAGCGCATAGGTTTCAGCTCCTATAGTGTTCAAATTACTACTGCCTCTTGAAGTGCTTACAACAGGTAGGAAGAGATGTATAATGCTCTGTTTGTTTTTTTGTTTTCATCAGATTGTTGGTGAAGCGAGTTCCGTATAACTCAACATGCCTCCCTGACTGTACGTACCCGACCAACCCTTTTTGATGTGTTCATGAGTCAGTGGTTTATTCATAATTAAACAACTGTTGCAGCTTGTTAGTGACTGAGTCAGTGCACCGGGGAAATACAATTAATTTTCCACTTTGTCTTTGTTTCAGATGTCGGTTTTGAGATACCTGATCGCTTTGTGGTTGGGTATGCCCTGGACTACAATGAGTACTTTAGAGACCTAAATGTAAGTCGTAGAGACCTATTATTCAGAGGAAGACATTTTAATGAGTTTCTAGTATTCCTGACCATTAAACATGCTTTAAATAGGGACATTTTGTATTGTCTGTCATGTTTGGTCTTCTGATTGTTGTTTTTCTGCTCCTTCTTCTTCAGCATATCTGTGTGATCAGTGAAAGTGGAAAGATGAAATACAAGATTTAAAAAGGGGAAGAAAAAAAAACAGAAAAGGGATTTTAAAGAGACAACTGTGACACAGATGTCAGCTGAACATTTTTCCGGAGATACCGATCACTGCTACAACGGCTTTCATGACATTGGATCTCAAGCATCCGTGTTTTATTATACATTCCTTCTATGAGATGTTTATCAATAGGACATTTAAGCTAGTAAATATGTTGTTTTCAGTAATGATGTGTACTGATTCACATTAAGATGTTACATTGTAGACTACTGCTACTGTTTGCCTTCTTTTTTAGTTCCAACCAAATGTATGCCTTACGAAGAATTTGATAATCATGAACTGTATGAGTGTAACATTTTAACTTTGTGTGTGATGAGATCACTTACAAAATGTATTTTTTCATGAGGAAATTAGTGATTGAATTTCAAATGTTTCTACAGCTTTTCAGTGCTCATCATGTAGCCCTCCTGCCGCCATCTTTGATGCTCAGGGGCAAAGTAGTTTTGTAAACACTAAGTGCACTAACTCACCTACCTCTTTTTGCGTACAGATTTTAGGTTAAGTGAGATACCTTTTTTGTTTCTGCATTCTACTTTTATAATTTAACATATTAGTAAAGTATTTTAACACTTCTGTGGTCTGTTATTATGAATTATTCACACATACCGTCCTGAGCAAGCGATGTACTTTCAGATGTTCATCAAGATACTTTAAAGTAGTTTATTTGTGAGCTCACTAGACAGAAAAATCTTGTGATGCTCTTATTTTCTTAGCGTGGTGATGTATAGTACAAAGCCGTGCTCTCAATCGTCAAAATGTCATTCTTCGGGCCTGTTTTAATCATTTCTTTTCTTGCAATCCTTGATTGGTTGATGCCACTTAGGCACTAGAATATTGCACCTTCTAGTGAAGTTGATGTTACAGAAAGCTAGCTTTTTCAAAGAGCCCTCAATTTTCAAAACTCAATACATTTTGGTAATCAAATGATTGTATGTTGCCTGGCACAACTATCCTGAAAAATTATGTAGGAAGAGATAATTGACCTGTAAAAGAAACAAAAGAGTGTGTGTTATTTATAGCTGCTGTGCTCTTAGTATATACACCTGACATATGACTCCGTCTTAAAGCAGGGAACACAAAGTGTCATAAAGACAGAACCGTTTTTTGTTTTTTATGTACTGAGATCTAGTGGGGATTACAGGGAATTGACTGACCCATTTCACAGGATTTGGCTGTAAGAAATTACTTGACTACATACTCTAATAGAATAATATTATTACTACACTTTAATATTTGATCGTTAAATTATTATTGTTGATGCCATAAGGTGTGAATACTACAATTGTGGGTAGATGGAGCCAATAAAAATGTCCTTGCTAGCCTTTTAATTTACTGTAGTAGGCTACAACAGACTGCATACTTTTCTTCTGGAGTAGTTTGCAGAGATGCAAATAAATGTATTCTTTTCAGTGGCTTTATTCTCAGTAGAACTAGTGGAAGTAGAGCTGGCTGGACAGGACAGCTTTGTGAAAGTCTCCTCGCTTAACTGACCTCTGCAATTAAAGCTGACAAACCCCAAGAACAGGTGGTCCCTTATGTTGGGGAGGAATAAAGGGGACAATTCACGAGGTCTTGGGAATCTAAGCATTTATTTAAGTCCACAGTCAAAATCTGGGAACAAGTAATACAGTAAAGGGCCGCCTGTCCTATCCATTTCGATTTTGTACTGTATGGAGTGATAAAAGCCAAGTTTATATGCCATTTGGTATGTTTAAATGCACATATCTCGGCGCTGCTATCCACATGCCAGCCCTGCTCGACCTCCCTTTGAACCAGGACATGTGACTCCCCGTTCAGTCTTGTTTGTATCAAACGAAAGCGTGTGAAGCGCTTAAAAAAAGAGTTGACTTTCTGTGTCAATGTGTACGTGTTCCTTATCTTGTTTTCCACATGAGAGGAGTGGCGGCGTGGCCGTCGACAGGTTGTACACATCCAAGAGGTAACGGTTAAAAAAAACAAAAAAAAACACCACATTTAAGAGCACAGCGAGGACTTTTTGTAAACTCAAACCTAATTGGTCCCATGGAATAGAACGCCGCTTGTGATTGGCTGAGAGTGTCCTGTTGACCGAAGGTGGACTCCCAGAGAGTCGGGAACGCTGGAAGCAAAAAAAAAAATTCCAGCTCCGAAACTGCACCATGCGCCTCCCCTGAGTGAGTTTGGAATAATCACCGGGAATCCGTTTTTAGTCTAAAACATGTTATAAATGACAACGCCTGACAAAAGAGGAACTCCCACGCTATGGTTTTACTTTGTTTTATCACTATTACGGACAACCGCCTCCGCCGCTGCCCGACTGTAATGACGCTTTTCGGAACTACACAGGTAACTTTGTTTAACTCCAGTCGTTAGCATGGGAGCTAGCCGCAGCGCTATCAGTATGTCGCCTCAAGTTGGCATAGTTGTTGCTTTTTTGCCGACTTAACACGTTTGAGAAGTAGAATTCAAGAGAGTATGCGATGTGAAAAGTTGGTACCGTATGCCATATCGCCATTTTAACCTTTTTCGTGATGTTTTTTTTTCTTTCTAATAAGTAACAAAGGAAAAGCTACTTTTTGTTAGTCGCTCGAGAACAACAGCTCGACACGCTCTGTTCGTGCTGGAGTTGACCATCGAGCTCAAACAAGGGAAATTCAAATTCACCACCTCTAAATCACGTAATGTTTCCATTAAATGTTGACACGATCTTAATATATGTATAAGTTGGAGTTACTTGAGATCTGAAACTCGGTTTGTTTGTGTTTGTTTTAACTTAATTTGGAGTGCGACGGACCTTTATTTCGCCTTGCCTCTGTCTATAGTCCACTTGTTGCTGGCCATTCATTATGCAGTGTTGCCTATCCATGCTGGTGTGTTTCAAGCTGATGACAACAAGCCTAAATAGTTGTTGCATGAATAACACGTTGATCATATGGTTTGTCACATCACTATTTTATAAATGTCCACAAAAAAATGAGGTACAACTTAAGTGAGGCTACAATTTTACATAGAGAACTAGTTACGATTAGCAGCTTTGGCTTTTTTTTTTTTTCACATTTCATATACAATTTTGCTTATTTGTATTCAGCCGCTTCCCCGACCTCTCAGCTTAAAGCCTTGAACAGTCGACACAAACATCAGGTAGAAACCAGCATTATCTTAGGACCTGTTGCATAATGTTAAGAGGACAAAATAAAGCACACACGGTCTACAATTATGTGTGTTAAACAACTGAGGTATTGATTCGTCTTGTTTTACACATACTTGAACAGCGTGAGACACTCTCAGCAGTCAATTTAAAAATCTGCCTGTAATTGATCAGAGCAAAAAGTACGGTATTTATAATACACTCATCTTTTCCTTCTTGTTTTAGCAAATGGACCAAGATATCAAGCAAGGATGGAGGTGTGAAATTTAACAACGTGGAGCATATTTTCTTGCATCCTGCTGGAGATACCTTTTCGATGTGGGCGTTCACGGATAACAGGATTTTAAGTCAAATCGAATGATGGCATCACGTTGGGTTCATTCTTGTGAAGATGATGAGAGACAACAAGCAAGATCTTCTTTCTGTGAGGTAAATGAAACACAAGTCTGACTAGTTACTCGATTGTTTAAAAAGATGAACGTAAACTTAAAAATGTGCACTCAGTTCTTTCCAGCCTTCCCCTTTCCCGTTGAGTGTTGCTGGGGGACTAATGTGTTTGACAAACATGCCCAGCTGTTTGTGCTTATAAAGACTCATGTTGTTGTTTTGCCCTTCATCTCTGCGTCATTACTTATCTTTTTTGAAAACTTGTATGGGAAGATTTATGTCAAAAATGTGACTGCACTTTTTTCTCATTACCTGCTTTGGTTGATCACTGTAGACTAAGAGATACAATGACATGTTACAGTTGCAGAGCAGCATCTAATTGGATTTGAAATTTTAATCAAACTTATTGCTAGCGGATGTAGGAGGAGACAATGGCGTTGGAGTGGTTTAAGACCCGTCTTTCAGATTTTTAAGCTGTGACCCATGTAATACCAGACAGGACACCATCTGCTCATCTGAAGCTTGTTGTCTCCATTAAGACCTTTTTGGTGGACTAGGTAACATCCCAGTCCCCTTTGAAATGTAAGGGCGTCTATTTATAGATCCATAGTTTTCCTTAATTTTGTCCATTGCCTGTGATCTAATAATGAGCCCTTCACTTGAGCGTCCATGCTTCTATGTAAAACGTCTGTTGAATAAGAGATGTAAAGCCCCTTATGTTGTTACTTCTCACTGACTTATTTGAGATCATTGGATAGTGTCCTTCATGGTAGCAGAGAAGACCCCAGAACATCAAGTTATGGTCAAAGAGCAAGTCTTAAGAAATATGTTTTAGGAAAACAATTCTTGATGGTATAACAATTTGAGCTGCTTTAGAAGTCATACTGCTGAGACTGCTGTTATGCACTCGTGTCTTTTCACAGTCACAGCTAACACGATTAAAATGATGTGATTTCCTTTGTTATTAAACCCATCTTGATAACTTTTATAAGATTTTGATAAATCTGGGATGACACCTAATGTTTCAGATACGTCTAGTCCCAGAAAATAATTCCCAACAATATAAAGGTGTTTGTTTCCCCTATAAAATTATGAAGTGACAGTACGCAAAAATCTATTTTTTAAAAATCTTTATAGATATTTTTTCTAATAATTTCAATGAACATGAATCAGTTTTTTTCATTCGTCCACTTCAACCAGTGAACTCCTTAGCAGTCCTCCTGATGTGACCACCTCCTGTTGTCTCTGGACCTGAGATTTTCTGGAAATGATGACACTGTTGATTTGTCAAAATTTGATAAAATGGTTGCATTTAATAACATTTTACGTGTGTTTATTGAGTGTTTTTTGCATATAAGAACTTGTACTGGTCTGAGATGACCGAAGGAGGTGAAAAAATATGGATTATACTGGGTGTGCTTAGGTTTTAGTGAGAGAGAGCATGGCCTAGATGTTGATGGAAAATAGCAGCAACAAGGGGATGCTGTATTTTCTCAAATGTACTGAAGATAAATCTTTGAAATAATTGGAGCTCTAATCTAAGATTGTGCCTTTAAAACCTATAGAAAAGATGAAATGTTATTTTCTGATGAAGATGTCTGACTCACAGAGCTCTCTGTTCATTTTCCCTTTTCTGTTCTTTGTTCACTACTTTCATTTGAGACAAAACTTAGCTCTCCTGTTCCTCTAACTCTGTACTAACAACCTTTTCTCCTGACCGTTATGCCACCATTACAGCCATTGGCGTGGTAGATAGTGCTTGTGTATGTTTTGCTGACTTGGGTTTTTCTGGTTGTTTGTGAGTGTTATTTTTCATCACCACTGGATTATTTGTCCACTTTATCAGCTGGAAAGTGCATGGTATTTCAACTGAGTCCAAACAGCGGACTGAGTTGGCACAGTGTCTTCCTTTACTTGATTCCTCTTGTCAAATCTATGAGACCTTAGAAGATGATCAGTCTGGTTTGAGATATGTTTGTGATAATTTTCACATTATTTTGCGTTGAGGTAAGTATTTCATTGAACTATATCATGTGATAAACTTATGTCTTAATAAACAAACTTGCCCCCCCCCCCCCCCCCCATACCGACTTTGCAGCTCGTTATGCTGAATAAAGTACTGAAATGAATTACTAATTTGGATGATTAACATGATCCATTTTTAGAACTGTAGTGGGCTGTTGACAAACAGACCCCCTGTCCCCATTATGTAGTCCTCATTAAAGCTCAATCTTTATCAAATTTAGGCCTGCTGCCTTTTACAGAACCCCCACACAGACATTGTATGGCTAACTGATGGCAATCGGAAGGAGAGATTGTGCTTCAATTGGATAGAAGATGTCTGTTAATTCCTGTTTCCTTATGGTTGTGTCTGCATTGTCTCATGGGAAATCATGAGGGACGGTTTGTATGATTCAGTTTTTAGTCATTACCCTTCTTTAGAGTGAAAGAGCTAGATAACTTTATTTTTAGAAATGTAACATGTTATTCTGTATGGTAAAGCAACTTTAAATACAACCAAAACAAATTAAAGAATGTATTTTTTTTTAAAGACAATGTAAATGTTATATATGAGTAAAATATAATCAGCTGGGTTTAAAAAAAAAAAAAAATCGAGGGGCTTCAGTAATTTTATTTTGTAGATAAGATGATATTCAAGCAGTTCAGTCTCATTCCTACACGCTGTTGTTTACAGTTAACATCATCTCTTCTGGCCTGTTCATATTATAAATTTATATATTGATGTATTCTGTATTTAGCACCAAATCAGCACATGTTCATGCAGCATGAACAGTTAGCCCATATTAGACAGGAGAGCAAGCATCACAACCGTGCAGGGGCATCTCAGTCTCTCTGTGTTTCTCTGCAAACTATGTAGTATTTTCAATATACTCTTTTTGTGACAGCAGAATTGATAAGTACAGTGAGGGGACATTGACCACTAGTTTATTAAGTATAGGTGGCATCATACTCCTGAATGGTAGGGGAAAAAGCCTGAACAGTTTATCAAACAGTTGGATGGTATTGATTTCTTTGGGAGCTTTCCAAGTAAAGTCTATGTTGGAAACACTAGTTTATTTATTTATAAACTGCACTCGGAACTGATCATAGAACTTAATCAATATTCGGTGACACATAATATGTCACCAAGGAAATACACAATATTGGGCAGGTGTCCATACAATTCTGTTGTGTTGTACAACATGCATGAAACACATCATGAATTTATTAATTTCATGAATGGACAATTCTTTTAGTTATACCTCGTTATAAAGGTGACTAATCAGGCTTACCAACGCTATATAATACAACACCAATTAGTATTATTAAAGGGGTGAAATAAGTGACCGAAATAACGTTTCCAAACTTTTTTTTGAGGAGTTTATAAAACTCACCACGTGTTTGCAAGTCTGACTAATGATGCCTCTAACCTTGTCACACACTACGAGGCTGAAACGCCCAGGCTTCACCAGTGGCCCCTGTATCATTATCTCAGGCTTTTCACAGTTAAGTGCTTGGTTTAAACTGGATGTGGTGTTGAATGTAGCAGCCAACAGAGAAGTAGGTTTCTTGACATTTTTAGGCTTTGTCCTTGTGTGATGTTTTTAAAGCTGATGTCATATGATGCTTGTAATGTGTCCTTTTGGTGACGTCAACAGTGGGTTTTTTAAACACACAGGTCATGATGTGAGGTTTCAAAATATATGATGGAAATAAGTGGAAATTACTGTTTCTTTTTTATAAATATCAACATTTGTGGTATGTGAAGAGCTGTGCATGTGATGATTTTCCCCTGAAAAGTATTGGTTTGTCTGCCCTTCAATCGCTGTGATAGGGGAACCGCTGATGTAGTCACCTTTTAGCCTCTTAGAGACCACATGTCTTTAATTTACTGGTACAAATACTGTACCCTTTGTCCAACAAGAAATGTGTTTTCAATGGCTTTACACAGTTACGTCCATAAACAATTCTTGTGTAAGACAGAAATTGATATAAAGAGGGGTTTAAAGGGGAACTGTAAGGATTATTGGTGAAGGTTTATTGCCACATCTCATTAAGCATGGCTGGAAAGCAAAGCATATGTACGAAAACATTTCAGAAAACTTGTCTGTCCCTCCATCGTTACTCTCAGTTCAGTCCTAGAGGTGACCATACATGTAGAAGCTGCTTCTCTGACCTGCTCCTCTGCTGTCTGCATGTTCGAGCGTTGCTGGGGCGCTGTCACACACCAGCATACACTGATGCGCGCACACACACAGGCCCAACAGACCCCAGGAAAAGACCAGCAGGCTGTTAGTCTTTCAAACTTCCCTGCATGTCTGCAACTCTAAGCCTCAAGTCTGTTCAGGCTTTCTAAGGACGGAAACCCTAAAATCTTTAATTAAAAAAAGCTCTCTTGGGTCCTAAATCACCTGAGCACCATAGTATTTCATCAATATTACTCCAATAGAAGTGAATTGTTCTTTTGTTGGCAACCATTTATCTGCTGCACATTTATAAAATTCAGAATCATGGTGAAAATTTATGGAAGCAGTAAGCTTGAATAGATTGACCCGATAAACAAACAATGCCTTTGTACATCATAATGAAGGAACTTGACAAGCACTGCAATGATGTGGCTTATAAATGTGTTTACAGATTTATGACACCAAGGAATGTGTTTAATAGTAAATGATCACATTTATTTTGTGGTTGACACAAAGAAAAAAATATAGAATATCCACAGAGTAAATTGGTTCTGAATTTGTGGAATTACTTTTTGCAATCCAAGACACAGGCCTGGTTACGGTTTGAGTCAAAGGGATGAAAAATAAATGCTTAACGAAAACTGACCCAGCTGTCTCACCCAGCGCAAATATCAGTCTATTTTGGTGATTCATAAATGGGCGAGAGGCATTCATTTGGGAGTAGGAGAGGGTAGATGTTTTATTTTTGATGTGGGTGTTTCCTTCATTTGCTAGTCTTTGAAGCCCTGTATTATGAAAAGTAATCCCCTAATTCCCTCCTATATGCTGCCTTTTGGCCTTTTGTCACAAATATTTGAAAGCATTATTTGTCTGGTTTATCACGTTGCTCCTGGAGCCTTGCTTTGTTCTTCATGCTTTATTATAGCCTTCTAGATTTTTTTTTCATAGAATAAGAGGGAAGGGAAACCAAGAGGGAAATGTGTGTCTGGAATTTATTGACCTGGAATGTCACAGCAGTATTAACTATGAGAGTAGCAATGATAACACTGCTCGGCATGCGTCTGTCAGGAGGCCCGTCTGTTGTCCACATCTTAAGATCAGAGGGTTGGAAATTGCCCCTTTGCACTGGCTGCTAAATCAGTTCCAGCAGACAGGGATTGGCTCTATTCAGAGACATACGGGGAGCAATGCAAGCATTTCAAACATCCAGTTGATCTATTGTCATTTCACTAGAAGCGTTTCTTCGGGAAAGGATTAAAATGTTTTTCCCCAGAGCTCCTACAGACAGAGAGTACAACATAGAAGTGCTGGTGTCACAGAACAGCCAAAGCTTGGCTTTAAGCAAAACCTGTTTTGCTAGTTTCGTCAAAATACACAGGTGTCAGATGCACCTGCAGCTCTGTTCCTCGGTCACAAACAGTAGTACACTGGATCCTTGTTTTTCCTACTTTGCACTTGTGAACTACTTTTATAGATGTAACAGTACTTGAAACAGTTTTATATTTGTTTTGGAGATTAAAAAAGAAAGAAAAGCAGAAGAAATCTGGTGGCTGATGAAAAATTCTGCAGTGTGAAACATGCTTTAACTTGGTACAAACCTTCAGGCACACAGCGTACTTCTTAGAAACAACACAGTGTTAGGCTCAATGTTCATTGTGTGACATACTGTTGATGTATTATTGGTGATGATGGTGGTTTAAAGTTGCACTGTGATCAAACTGCTGCTCATGTTTGTTTTTCTTTAAATGTGGTTTGACTCGTCACACTCCCTGCAACAGCTGGATCAAAGGGGATAAAGGAAATGGGAAAGCTGTGCAGATTTATTTGTTTCTTTTGCCATGAAACACGCAGGTCAAATGTTAATATTTTAACTTAATTAACTGTTTTTCTTGTTATAAACTTTATTTCCGGGTATTCAAATATGCAGGTAATTTACTCTGGTCTTCTGTTGTTTTGTTTTTTTACTCAATTTATCTGCTCAGGCAGAGATGACGTGAATGCAAGCTCATCAAATTCCTCACACTGTGGGTCTACGCTTCACAGTGGAGGGGGAGGGTTTGTTTGAGACAGGGTGAGGAAAAATACCATATCAGTGTGGAAATACAAGACTGTTTGAACAGAGGTGTTCCTGAAAGTTTTACTGGAACACGGAATATGATATAGGGAGACCTGAGTAAAGGGGTTGTTGCTGCACACACGATACCACAAAGGTGTGAAGCTATAAATAGTTACTTAACACAGGGGTAGGTGTCAAAAGCCCTGAAGCCTGCCATGCTCTGCTCCCCAGCTGTGAAAATGTGATATCATGACTAGACTGTAAACACTGTACATTCAGTTATCCTTAATCCATGTATAACATTGTTAAATGACTCACACTACTCATTTATAAATCTCTACTTAGAGGTAATTTGTTCGTATTTGTGGTTTGGTTTTGGGAAAAGATTATATTTCAACACTGGGGTTTTCCAGCATTTACAGTCGTTTACACTTTCAATTTCAAGATTTCTTAGCTGCAGTTTTCAGCAGGTTACAATTAGACTGCTTTCGGTTTTGAAATTAACTTAAGACAACTTAAATTTCAACTCCTTCCTCTTTTTTCAGAATGAATCTCCAGAGTGGAGCAACATGGCTGATTCTTCTCCAGGGCAATTTCCAACAGAAGAGGAGTTCTCATGGCCAAGACCTAAAACAGTGCGATTGCGTCGAACTTCCCAAGGGTTCGGCTTCACCCTGCGTCACTTCATCGTGTACCCACCAGAGTCATCCATGCACTACTTCCCGGTAAATTTTCTAGTTTGTATTTTAGTATTACACTCACCAGAAAAGTTAATTTGTTCATATATCTAAATATAATTTTCACTAGTGAGTCAACAGAAAGCCTGATACATAAATTATGTGTCCATGGGCAGCAAATTTACTGGAGTATTTGTTGTTTTTGTTTTTTAAGGAGGAAGATCATGGCCATAGAGGTAAGCAGAAAAACTTGACTATTTCTCTTCATCCCTTCTCTCCATCAAGGCTGAATTAGTGCAGTGCCTCTGACTTCTAATGACTCTTAATCCATCCTTTACCTCTTTTTGCTTCCTTATGCGATGAGAACAATGTAGCTCCTGTGTGTCACTGACCTTTGTGGAGGCATGAAAGGTTTGGTCAGCACCACCTGTTTCTGTCCTGTAATAACCCCACTCTTCATATTGTTTCACTTTGTTGTTCTTGCTGCTTTTCTCCCTCACTATGAAAAGGCTGTCAGAAAGAGATGGCCTCAGTTTACTGGATTGTGTGCGTTTGCCCCATTTTTCCCTTTTTAACATCAAACCAGTTGATTTTCTCTTTTTATATATCAAATCCCTAAGCCAAGTTCATTTGTTTTTAAATTCAATAACTTAAATGCAGTGCCAAACAGATATTTTGGTTGTTACTTTTTAAAATACATCACTAACAATTCAATACTAGAGCAAAACTACTTATCAGCAGTCTTGTTCCACAACTTTTGTAGAGAGATCCAAATGCCCCTAAAAATATTATTTGGGTTTGCCAATTTGATTAGGTAAATAAAGAAGTTTTAAAGTTCTATAAATAATATTCAAGTTAGATTTTTTTTTTTAATAGTTAAAAACTATGTATTACCAGTAAGCACGTTTGGTGTTGCGGGAGCTACTTTACGCTGCTCCTCTGCTGTCTGCTGTCTGCAGACAGATCACAGCGGGGGCACGTTTAGACTCACCAACATGCATTGCTGCACAATCATACACACACACACCAGGACACCAGCCACAACATGCACCCATTTTGAGTGCAACATAACACAGTTGATCCGTGATCTCCACGGACCAAGTCAGGGAATGCACATGTTCTGGTCAAAAATTAATTTAGACCTTTTCCATCTACTCTCACTGTTTCTGCATCTATCAGCAATCAGTAAGTTAATGATCATAATGTTATCGCACAGCCTGCTGTAGTCTGTGAACTTCTCCACGCAGTGCTGTGCTATATCCAAACACTGATGATTTAGTGCATGCTTAATGGACACTCCCCTTTTCACTTCCAACACGCGCAGCAGGAGCAGTCACAGATGACCACACCTCCAATAATGATCGGTCTGCTTATGTTATGTGTTCAACCTTGTCGAAGCTTAAGTGAGAGGAATGCCTTTTTTTCTTTCAGATTAAAGAAAATGTATTATTCACAGATGGACTTTTGTTTTTAGTTTGTAATATTGTACTACATGGGTGGTTCCAGAGGGTAGCAGGGGTGGCCTGGTAAATTTAAAGGCGAACACATTTTTTCGTCTTCCATTTTTCAATTTCCTGATCGCTTAAAAAGATCAAACCCATGACTTAAATCTGTGATTGGATTAAACGGAACATTATATCTTATTAAGTCAATTAAATGCATCTTACAGCAAAAGCAATGCCAAAGAGCAAAATAGCTTACTAAGCATCCATGGGTTCTCATTGTTGAAAGTTATTAGTCAGGACAAGGGTACATAAGAATTGCCAAGACATACGCTTTACCGTGGAATACAGTAGGACGGTCATCAACAAGTGGAGAAAATATGGTTCAAAAATAGCACAACCAACGTCCCTCCAAAATTGATGCAAAAACAAAGTACAGGTCTCCCTAAATCGTGTGGGAAAATGTGTTCTGGTCAGATGAGATCAAAGTTAAACTTTTTGGCCATCATTCCAAAAGGTATGTGTGGCACAAAAACAACACAGCACGTCACCAAAAGAATGGCACACCCACGGTGAAGCATAATGGTGGCAGAATCCGGCCTAAGTTCTTTGGTGCTGTTTATTTTCGGCTGGAACTGGGGCTTTAGTTTAGGTGGAGGGAATTATAAACAGTTGCAGATTCAAGTCACTTTTGGCACAAAATCTAGAGCCCGTTGCTTTTGTCCCCCCAAAGAGCTGCTCAACCATCAATTCCCTTTTTGTCTGCTTCTTCCTAACACATGGCTCTTATGTCACAACTGTGGGGTCAAGTTTGGGCACATTTGTGATGTGTTTCCTTGTTGTTTCTCCAAACTGTCACACAAACACAGGCCGTCTTTACCTCAGGCTCATTTCACATTTTGACTATCTATTGCTGCAATATTTCATTTTGTTGGGCATTATTGTTAGTGATCATTCCAAAACGACAAGCTAATACAGGCCTGATGTTTTTATATATATATATATATATATATATATATATATATATAGATATATATATATACTTTTTTTTAACTTAAAAGCATGTTGTATTCTTTTTCAAAAAAAGTCTTCATAAGCTTTTATTGAATGAGTATAAAAAGCAGTCAGCTGTTGGCACGAGAGGCAATCAGTTTACCAAACCACTCCCCATAGCTTTGCCGAGTTATTAAAACGGAACAGAGCATTGGAAATCTGGCAATGATTTCATTTTCTTGGTTCGAGAATTCTAAACTTACGGAGAAAAAGGGTTGTTTCCCAGAACTTCACTCATGTAGATGGAATTTACATTAATCCCTTCTATCCTATAAATAAAAAATAAACAAATTACAAATGTTCTGAGTGCTTGTTTAAAAATGCTAAGGATTTAACACTAGTAAGGTGATATTTGTATGTACGCTTTATAGAGGAAGCAAAGAAGATATCAGCTAGGGCGCCAGGGCTTTATGTGTAAAGAAAAGAAGTCAGTTTTATAACTCAGAGCCGTCTCAAGCAAAGTAACATTTAGTCATACTGATAAAGAGTACTGTAAAAGAAGACACAATTGTACACTTTGTACGTTTACTCATAGCTCATAAATTAGACAAACAGCACAACACAAATTATAAATGCATAAATGTTTGGGATCCAAACACTACCTCCGGTTCTTGCAAGTGGAAGGCATAAACTGCGTCCAATGTACATTTAAGTATTTAAGTTGGCTCATGTATGAATCTATGACTGGTTTCGTTTAGGATAAAGTATTGCAACTATCTGATGTACCACCAGAGGGAGCATGTCTTGCAGTTATTTTTTTTTACTCCTTTTGCAATGTTACATAATAAGAGTCCTTAGGATGTAAGACTGCACGAGTAATCTCGTGTGTGAAAGAGAGAACAATGGAGGCACATGTGTGTCTATGTTTTTTTAAGTTTATTGAATGCTGCTAATACTGAATGATCAACCACAGACAAAATTAAGCTCCCCATTTACCTGTGTCTCTTTTTTCCAAACATAAAACAGTCAAAAATGACAGGTGAAAATGTGAAAAAATATTGTTTTTGTGGAATGTATTTCTTGCTTGACAAGCATTTAAAAACTGGTAAACCTGTTGCACAGAACTTAGAGGACTTAAAAATATATCACACCTGTTTTGATGCTGGTCTTTATTTCCACTGCAGTTTGTGGGCCTTCAAGCACTGACTCACTAACAGAATGTTAACTACGAGGGAAGGGTTTGAGCAACTCTTTGGCTGTGCACAGAGCTATTTCTCAGTTTATAAGGAAAGAGTGGGAGTTGAGCAGCTGAACACACTGTCACTCTACCTTCTCCCAGTCTCTCTCTCACCCCCTCTTTCCTTCTTTTTTAGCAGCCATACAGCTGCTAGGAGACAGGAACAGCATGAGCAAACAGGTTTTCTCCCCGCACTTCTCTTGGAAGAGAAGTGCGGGGACATTTCCAACTATTTAGTTTAGTTTACTTCTAAACCAATTAATAGCCATTAGCCACGACTTTCCAAAATGTGGCAATATGGGTAAGCGTTGGCCTGTCAGAATGTTGTGTCACAGTCTCCAAATCTAGTGACAAACCTGCCAGTTCTTCTTTCATTTTCATAGTCATTCTCATTTATCACCTTAATGTCTCAGTCTATTACCTTGACAGGTTTTGTAGTTGTTGTTTCACATTTCAGGTTCAGTTTTGGTACCAGCAAGAGGTTCTTTAGTCAGTATATGAAGTACATTTAAGGTTTTATTCTCTTTACTATTTAATCTCTTCTCTTCAAAAAACATTGAATACAAATGGATGTCGTTAGTATTTTATACGCTTAATTTGTTTTGCTTCGTTAAAGTGTTTTAACATCAGTGACCCTTTTCCTTTATCAGGGAGACCACGGAATAGACTAGAACCAATGGACACTATTTTTGTGAAGCAAGTCAAAGAAGGAGGCCCTGCTCATGGAGCTGGTCTTTGCACAGGTAATCATCATTAGCCTTGTTTACTGACTAAAACCTTGAACAGACTGGGATTAAAAGTACACTCACCATATGACAGCAACCAAGGCCCAGTCCTGTAAATTATGTCACACAGATTTAGAAACTTTCTCTTAGTTTGGCTTAGCTTTTTTTTAGAGTGTAAGAAGCTAAAAAAAGAATGCAAGTAGTGCGGTTTTCGGAAGTGGCATTACAGTTTCCCTGCAGTGAAGCACAGCTTTAGCCAGGCTTTGTTGTTCCAGTACAATGTTCTTATTTGTGCCTGTTAGTTTTATAGATAATCCAGTGATTTTATGTCTTGGAGGATGTGGGGAAATTAAAGCACAGTGTTTTATTGACCCTCCCTATTTCTGATGCCATCACTCCTATCTCTTTTACATTACTTAGGTGATCGATTAGTGAAGGTAAATGGAGCAAGCATCATCGGGAAAGCCTACTGTGAGGTTATATGCTTGATCCAGGACAGGTGAGATCTAAAACAATTTGTTAAGATGGTTTTGGTTATTTGGTGTATTTTCTTGTATTCAAATCTCTCTTGTTTCCCAACAGTGGTGACTTTCTTGAACTTTGTGTGATGCCAAAAGATGAGGATATACTCCAACTGGTAGGTTCCTCCATACAGCGTTTTTAAATTTGGTTGAATTTAGATGTTAATCACCTGTAAATGTTTTTAAATGTGTGTTTTAGCTGAGTTTTAAACACACAATGTTCCCCTATTTTTCCTATTTTTTCAGTCCCACAGTATTTATATAATATGTGATCTCACTGGACTGCTCCAGTTTAATGTGTTCACGTTGGGACAGCAGTCATGAGATGCAGGGAGCATGGCTGTCCCAGCTGGGCTCTCTATCTAGGCCTTTTAATCAGGCCAGAGCAGCCGTTCAGTCCTCAAACCACTGCTGATACTATTTCCAAAAAAGCATCATTGAATTGGTAACATGTTCTCATATTAATATACATAAACATAAATCCTGGATTGATTAACGCTACTCCATTGTTATGTTTTACTTGAGACGGTCACATATGTAGGCCAGTAACATGTTAAAAAGCTGTATAACAATTCTCACTTTAGACGGATGAGTAACATTTTGTTGCTGTCATTACTCTGACCGCAACGTTCAATTCAATTTCTTAAGTCATTTTAAAATGTATTTAATGTATCTGGAGGAGCCCTTTAGAAAGTTTGGCTGATGTACATCATCATCTATCATGACTGGACCTCCTTGAGCACGGATTTTTGTGTGTGACAAAATCAGATGACTGTTGTGACATGCTCTTTCCATCAGACTGTGAAGATGTCAGAGTCCATGATTTAAGAGAAGTGGAAATGACACTCAACTTCCACAGCAGTTTAAAAATAGCTCAGTATATGCACTTAAAATACAGAATGTTAAATTATTAAACTAAAGGCAATGGATTATTCATCAGGAAAAAGTCATTTTCATGAAAAAGAAATCATTGTCAAGTGTGAGTGTAAATACCGTGGAATCAGACCCTTTGGAATATCAAAAATGAAACCTCAGTTGACTCTTAATTGCAGACAATTTCTGTTTTGAAAGAAAGATTTTTATTAATGGCTACATAATATAATCTGGTGGGAACAGCCCACCTATATGTTGCATATTTTCAGCAGTCATTTTGTGACAATATAAAAATATAGTTGGGCATAAATGTGACCTTAAGTGAATGGTCTGCAATTTTCATCCCTGAAAAGTAACTTTCGTAGCTTTCTTCCATCAATAGTCCAATCTTTGTCTGTCTTCATTTTCACCTTACTCTTTCACAAAATGTATCGAAATTTTGATCCTGATTGCAGTTTGAATCTCTTCAAATACCATTTCTTCAGCAGCATTAAGACCTCATACCTGTGAGCTCTGTAGACGTCCTCATGAACCTTTTATGTGTGCTGCAGACAGCTGCTGGGCATTCTGCACATTCAGTGCAAAGCTAAGGTGCACTCATCTGTCCCATATCTATAGCAACCACTTTAAGTGGTTAGAAAGGATGTTTAGGAATCTTTTCCCAAGGGCCTATTGTTATCTGGCAGTAGTTTATAAATTATATAATGAAAGAGCTTGGCTGTTTGCTTTCCTGAATATTTTCCCCTGTGGAACTTGAATGTCTAGATTGAGTCCTCATTAACATGATGGGTAAATCAATTAATCACTTAGTATTCAGAATTAGAAATTAATATGTATTGTTGACACAGCCATTCAATTTGATTTAAGTACCACATACTCTTAAACAGATGCAAGAAGTTCATTTCCCCTCTCTTATTAACAACTGACTATTACACCCCTCTTCCGTGTAAAGTCCTCCCTCTCTTTTCTTTTTTACATTAGAGGCCATGTATGTACATGTCCATAAAACAAGAGGATTATTAGAGATGCTAGCAAGATGACTTTACACTGTAGGAGGCAGCACACACAGTGCTCGGAGACAGGCAGCAGTTGCTTAGCAAAGAGAATGAGAGAGTGTACAGCCAGTGAGCAGAAAAAGGGAGGGAACTGTACACCAGGAAAAAAAGAGGAAACGGAGAGCAGGGGGAAAAAAAGGTTGAATGATGAGCTTAAACCGGTAGATAAAATCAGCTGACTGCTCTGTGTTATGAACAGGTTGATGTTAAGAGAAAAAGGAGAGAGGAGAAAGCAGAGGGAGGGGTGAGCTGTACCATCACAGCTGAATGTATAATCAGCAGCTGCTGCTTCTGTCATGTGAGCAATAGCAGAGGGAGGGGGAGAGAGAGACACAGACTGGAGGCACCTTGCTCAGTTAGCGTAATATTCTGGCTGAAGATGGATACAACCATGGAGACTTAACAGCAGCAAAAGAGGCAGGCTTCTGCTCCTGCTACCTCACCAGGACAGACTGGCAATGGCAGGTTCTGCTGCTGGACCATATTAGTATACTGTTAGCATGTCAAGCCCAGGCATTACCGTGGCTGTTTTTGACAATGTTTTCATTTTTCTTTGCTGGCATCTTTTTCTCTCCCACCCTCTCTCTCTTGATTTCTTAACACTTTCGTTTTCACATGCTGTAACGCTAGCCTTTTTCTCTGGGAACTACTAATCTGGTAAGCAAACAGCTGGCTGTGTACTTGACATGTTGTGCTTGTCGTCTGATTTTGCATATGTCATGTGTGTCAGCATCCTCACAACAGGATGTTGTCTTCAGATTTAACATAATTGCTATCCAGTTGCCATGGTTGTCTGTCTAATGATAAGCTCTGTGTTAGTGATTCAAGTGTGTAGACTAGAAATGGCCGATGGACTGTGCCTGCAGTACCTGTTAGATTGAGCGCTCGGATCTGGATTCCAGCTGGCATTTAGTGAAGCCTCGCCCCTTCTTCATCCTCAGTGCCAGATGTCATTATCTTGATAAAGGCCAGTGACCTCTGAACTCTCCTGCACATTCATGTTCATAAAGGGAGGATCTGAGTCTAGCACTGATTTATGTAAGATTGCAGTTTGACACTAGGCAGCAGGATCAAAGTCCTCATACCTTCACACGTCTTTTTATCACATGTACAGTATGTGCAGTATTCGATGATAAAGATAAATGCAGTGAGGCTTACACGCCCATATCAAGCTGTAGCTTTGATATTTTTGTTTTAAAATTATTTTACAAATATATGCAGTGAATGATTAAAGTCTTCAAAACCTTGGATGGTAATCAGGAAAGCTAAATATAGCGCTTTTCTGTCAGGGATGGGCGACCTGCTATCTGTCCGAGGTTATAGTCTATCAGTCTGAGGTGGGAACATTAAGAAACAGGCTTCCTCTTACCATGTTGTAAATCTACTCTACTTTTTTTGTGTAATTTCTAGACATTTTTAGACATTTTGTACTGTCTAGAGTCGGCTTCTTGATTGATTCATCAAATGTGTATTGGTTGTGCTTCAATCTGTGCTGCAAATGCAAAGTGGGAGGCTAAATGTTGAGTGAATACCATTCCACATTAATCTTATAGTGTTTTCAGTAATAAAGATGGTAATTCCTTCCAAAGACATACATCTTATGTCTCTTTTAAATTGAAAATCACTTTTGTTGGATAGCTACAACCATTGTTGTCTGGACAACAGAGTCGTGAATAATGATGAAAAACTGATGCAACATAAGATTCTTGTTGGAAGCATCAACTCCCTGTCAGGGTAAAATATGTTCAACTTCGACTTATATAGTGTAATAGTATCATCTGTCATGGAACAGTGAACATTACCATGGGAACTCTAAATAAGAAGCAGATGAAGACCATTGAAACCTCTGAACTGTTAACGCCTCCACTCACTCGAACTGCAACATGCACTGCCCACACACATGCATCCAGCAGTATTTGTAATACCACGCTTGACTTCTCTGGAAGCATTTAGTATCACACTGTTGAATATAACACACCCTTGAAAATGGTGCTTGTACAATATCTTTTGTAACACTGCTTTGTTGCTCTTTTTCTAGGCCTACTCGCAGGATGCCTACCTCCGGGGCCAAAGCAGCTACAGTGGAAATGCACGTCACATTCCTGAGCCTCCGCCAGTATGCTACCCCAGAATAGACTGTAAGCCTCCGGGCATGGCCCAGGCGACAGACTCAGCAGAGCAGGTCTGCCGAGGGCCAACAGCACCTCCTGACCATGGGTACCGCAAGGAGATCACTGTGCCTCCGTCTCCCCCTCCTCAACCATATCCAAAAAGCCAGATGGCAGTGTGCATGCGAAACGACAGCGTTAGGACTGTGGTGGTTCCTCCCGACGCAGTCCATATGGGGCGCATGGGTCCAGCACACAGGATGGACTTTATGGATCCTGTCTTTCTCAGGGGGAGGCCAGGGTCACTGGCTCAGTATCCTCACTCTCGAAAGGCTGATGGCTACCCCAGTGGTCCTGGAATGCTGCCATACAGTGGTCAGGCACCTCATTACCCTGCCAACCATCAAAACATTGATTGGCGCACTTATCAAACATACAGGGAGTACATTGACAACAAAGGAATTCATTCCCATGGTAGTCGGACTATCCAGGAGAGGCTGGACAATTTGAGAGCTAGTCAGACCCCCTTTGGCCCTACTCATCACATTCCCCAGGGAGACTGGGTCCCCAAGGGGATACGACGCAGGAGTACCTCGCATGAACGCTCATACCATGGACCTCCACCCCACTTTCAGGTTGCCCCACGCAGTGCTTCACAGGACCGCATGAGCAGTGCAGATAGACTCAGCCAAGCCCGGAATTGGCCTCCTCGAAGTGTGTCCCAAGACGGCCTAATGCACAAAGCACGGGCTCACTCCACAGACTATGTTGATCCTGCAGAGTTGGCTCGGCCCATTGAAAGGAGAGCAGGGTGTGGAAGGGCAGATCAAGGTACTAGACCCAGCAGACAGTCTATTCCCAGACAGGCCATGCTCTACAGGCCTTCTGTTGGATATAGTGGTGGCATGAGGGGGCCACCCAACCCCTCTCTCTATTCTAAAGGACAAGATTCTCTTCAGACTCGCTCCTCACCCATGCTTTCGGACAGACTGTCACATTTCGGAAAAAGCACGAGTGCTGAACATTCTCTTGTTGACCAAAGAGTTGCAGTAAAAGGAAACCATTTAGCCCGGGCTACCCAACCAGGCCAGAACAGGATACGGGCTGAATCCATGCAGCCTGTTGAAGCAAGCAGAGACCCAGCATTAGTAGGACTTAGGTCTGCTTCATGCTCAACCCCGAAACAGATTCCTCAGAGGCCTAGCATCCTCAAACCACCTCACCCAGACTCCCAGAGTCAGGTCAATGGGCGAAGTCCGTCAGTGACAGGGGTTGTTCTTAGGGAGAAGCCCCCACCTGGAAAGAACCCCAGCCCTCTTCGTCACCCTTCCTACATCCTGGCTGTAAATGATGACGGAGCAGATTCCACAACAGATGTGGTGGCATGTTGGCTTCCCAATGATGCACGTCGAGAGATTCACATACGCCGCCTTGGTGAAAAACGTCACACCTCCTGCTCCAGCAACCTGGATGAGTCTCTGGACTTAATTCCATTCATAGGTAAGAGAATAATCAGTTGTAACTCTTGCTGCCCTCGTTGGTTGTAAAATGAGGCAGTGCTGTAACTGAAGCTATCTTATAGCTGCTGATAGAAACAGGTGTAGGATTTGATATAGGAAATCTGGCTGTAGAGCCTGTTGACCTCTAGTCTCATTGTTAATCTGATTCAGCATTTTATATCTGTGTGTGTGTGTGTGTGTGTGTGTTTGTGTATACAGGGCAAAAATAAATTAATCTCCTTTGGAAGATGTTATTAATCAGGTTTTGTGGCATTCAGAGAGGTATTGTGGAATATTCAGCTTAACTGGGGCAGAGCGAGGGATGGTTTAAGCCTTTTGGAATATATTGATTTTCTCCTTTTAATACATTGTTTTCTTGAATGGTCTCTCTGCAGGATGGATTTTATTATGGTTCAGTGGCCCTGTAGTGCATTTTCTGGTGATTGAATATCTTTCATCTCAAAAACAAGTGTAACTTTGCACATAAAAGGTGTTTTGGGGCTTCAAAAAGCAGTTTCCAAAAGCAGTTATCACAAATGTCATGTTTTTTGGTCCTCTGTTTTGTGTTTGGAGAATGGCCATACTAAAACAAGTCTGAAATTTTTCAAAGATTTCTCTATATAAAGTCTTGTTTTAGAAAATGTATTATAGGAAGTTCAGCAGCTTAAAAATATTCATTATTCATGGAAACTCTCGCATGTTTTTCGTGTTGCCTGATGAGATCGTGCCTACAGTTACATTGCTGTAGGCAAAATGGATTATGCAGACGGAGGATCTTTTGGGTTTCTTAAATATTTTTGGAAAGCTGCTAGAATTTTAAATGTATTGAATATTTTATGTTCAGATATCTCACTATTGTCTTTTTCTGTGCTTTTTCCTCTCTCTCCATCTGTCTCTACATATATGTATTTTGTATGTTTGTGTGTGAGTTCCATTCGTTTGTGTACCAGGCTGTTTGTGACACAAGATAATGTAGTTATTGGGAAAGTGAGAGAGCCCTGTTAGAATGGAAATTTTGTTATAAACAGTTAATTTTGCTGTATTTATCTGTTGTATTTGCATAACTTCTGTATGGCGAGGCTGCTTCTTATGAAAAATGGTCCATCCCTAAATACAGAAATGAATTTGGCCTAAGTTGCTTTTAAATGAAAGACACATTTTGATGGTTTTACTTAAATTAAGTCTCTCAAGGCCTACCTTCTTATGCTTTGGAGGACTTAAAGGAAACATTATGTTCTTTGAAGGTAGAACTAGGTCACCGGCAGCAACAGTACAGGAAGTTTAAGTTTGACCCATGGGAGAACGTTAGTTTCTGAGTTAAATTTGTGTCGATTGATTGAGGACTGTTAGATAAATTACACATATGTGGCAAATAAGGGTAACTTACCAGTTTACAAATCTCAAAATGTGAACACCCAGTTTTGTTGGCTCCGCTTAATATCAGTCAGTTCAATCTGTTGTTAGTTTGTGACATATACAAGCTTAATGTAATGCATTCAACAGACATGTATTTACCTTTTATTGATTAAATCGATAACCTTATGGGAATACGTTGGTAACTGAAGGCATAGGTTTGTGTGCTGTTGAACTGTCTACTGCATTGTATTTAGAGTTGCTTTGTTAAACATGGTAATGTTGTGTTTATGGCACTTTTAAAGTCAATGTTGTTGACTCTTTTGAATAAAACATAAAGTATATTAGTTGGATGTATATGGTTTCGATGGAGTCCAGCCTCTTGTGTCTTTCCAGTGTTTTGGCCACTCCTTTGGTAGTCCGCGATGGTTAAAGCGGCCTGGCAGCCCAGGTGCAGACAAAGCAGGCAGTGACAGAGATGATGCTGCAACACCACCATTCTGGGACTGGTGCCCTGACCCAGCAGAACAGTGCTCTGATTGTGTTGGCTGTTGGACCTCCATCAATGGCCTGTTTCAAAGCCCAATGGTCCAGGCCTAATATGCTCCTGTTACCCTGTCCATCGTTTCATGTAGCCAACATACAGGCAGGACTTTTGTGCTATAACCTTACAGTGAGGATTATTGTGTTGGATGATTTTAAATAGGACCAAAAAGGGAGCATGTCTTGACCACTACCTCTTAATAATACAGTTTGGACCCGGGGCAGAAACCCTCGGGTGTTTCTAACACAATCTGTCTGGTGCACAAACTGTCAGCAGCTGAAGACACTAGAGTGGTTCGTTCTTTTTTACATCAATAATTGGGCCTAGTTGTGCAAAATGATTTGAGTCCAGATCTTTTTTGTTTGTTAAGGAGATTGTATTCTGACAGAGTATAGTAGAAAAAGTTGGTCGTTGTATGTTTTGAAGAGAGGCTAATGGTTTAAGTCTTGAAAGTTGTGTTGTATTATTATTTATCAATGATGGGCAGAAACCTTACGAAGGTAGCCCAATAGATCGTGTTTTATAGGGGTTGATATCCTTTTCCATTGCCCTGTTGGGTACAGGCTGGAACTAGGACAGTTTCTTTTAAATTTAGCTCCAATAGCCCCTCAGCTGCAGAGAACAGCTTTGTACTCTGAGCAGTTTCAGGCTTCAAGTGCCAGGAGTGGGCGGTACACCAGAGTTAAGAACTTCCTTCTCGCTTAAAAAAAACATGCTTAAAAATGTATTTTCTGCATTTTTTCTTTTACCAGGGGTGTCACAAAGGGACTGTTTTAAATTTTTGTTTTTGTTTTTATTGAAATCCCATAGATGAGATGGGGATTAAAAATTCAGCAGGCCTGGATTTTGTCTATAGAGACATAATTTAGAATTATAAAACAAAAAGCATATTTCCTCCCTGTGTGTACAATTAATGTTTAATTGTTGTCATAGATGAGCCAACCAGCCCCAGTGTCGACCGGGACGCCGCTCCTATTCCACCCTCGGCTGTCATATCGGTTGCACCATCAATAACTACAGGTCCCTCCAGCCCAGACTCACCCTGCCCTCCTATTCGTCGTCAGTTGTCACATGACCAAGGTAAACCGGGTAGGACTGAGTTAGGTGATGGATTTATCAGCCAAAGCTTTGGGTCCACATAATTTGTTTGTAAAGAATAAAGTAAAAATAACTATAAGTTTATGTAATCATCGAGGTCATTTCATGGAAAAGATCAAACATTTGATCAATTTATTTTCTTTCAACCAGCTAATCCTTTTTTCTTTGAACTTTTTACATTTGGGGTGTACTGTTTAATAAGCATGTCAATAAATGTAACCTAGCACATGCAGCTGCTATTATTGGAATTGCTATTACTGCTTGTTTAATATTTGTCTAGACCAAAGTCACTTCAGAGTAATTGATGTGATTAACACGCTTTACCTGGGTTTTAATAACATTATCTCATATTATTTATCCCTGAATAGAGTCCCTTAGAAGTGCTTTGCTGGAGTCTGAAACAGCCAGCAAAACAGAGCGCTCCAAATCCTACGATGAAGGTCTGGATAACTACCAGGAGGAGGGCAGAGGGTGAGTACATACTAGGATCAGATTATTGCTCTATATCTTTTTTTTATTAATGTAGAGGTTATAAGGTTATGGATCTTTCTGATCTTTCCACTGTTTTTCTTTCCCTTCTTCAGGAGATCTTCCAGTAGGCATATGCCCAGTCTCAGGGGCCTGAGAAAGGTGATGATATATACATTTACTATCAACATGCAAAGCTTTCCAATGTCATGATACAGATTTGTATTTGTATTTTTTTTGCTTGTACCCTTTGATATAAGACTTGATTTTCTGACAGTGCTCCAACTCTTACCTGGTATTTAAATCAAGACAAGATAGAATCTATAAACAGAAGTTGAAGAGCTGTGTGTTACTATATCAAACACTTATTGGATTGGAGTACCATTGAGCAACAAGCAAAGCAAGGTGGTCAATAAAAGAGGGAGTATTGTAAAATGACATTTTAATCGAAATGTTTAAAAATAATTGGATGTCCCAGGGACCTTGTCATTTGGATTTCCAGTTTGATTCTGCTTAGGGATGTTTGTTGCATACTTTAGCCTCTTTATCTCCCACACTCCAGTTATTTAATGTCACAATAATGTCAACTTGTTTTCTAAAAATAAAATCTCATGTGTTCATGGTTGCAGGCTCTGGACGGGCATAAACCTTCTGCAGACTCTGGATCTCGAAGGGATTCATCTTCTGATGTTTTTGCTAATTCTTCCAAAGAAGGGTTGCTGAATTTTAGGCAACTCAGTACAGATAAAAACAAGGTATGCCTGTATAATCATGCCTTCACTTAACCTCTATAAACTATATTTCTCTAATGCATTGATGTGTAATATGTCTCTTTTCTTTTGGTCTCTGTAGCGTGTTGGTGGAGGAATGAGATCATGGAAGCAGATGTACGCTGTGTTACAAGGTCAAGCCCTCACCCTCTACAGAGACAGGAAGGATGCAGTGTCTCACGCTTCCACGCCATCTGATGAAGACCCACTGCGAATCAGCATCAAGGCCTGTCTTATTGACATATCCTATAGCGACACAAGACGCAAGAATGTGCTGCGACTTACCACATCAGACTGCGAGTACTTGTTCCAGGCAGAAGGAAGGGACGACATGCTGCATTGGATACGAGTCATTCAGGATAACAGTAACCCTGATGAAGAGGTATGTTCTAGTCGCGCTCGGTATGTTCAGACTAGTCAGGGCTATAAACCAAGGGCAAGGGCATCATCATTTCAACCAGTAACATGACATCAGGACAGAGCGTAGTGTAGCAGTGGTGGGCAGTTCTGCAGTCACATCACAAACAGACAAGTCCACAACAGACTTTACTATACTGTAGTTCATTAAAAATAACTAACTCAGAATGTTAAAAAACAAAGTGAACTAAGCTCTCTCATTGACTAATAGAGAGGATTACAGCCTTAGTTCATAAAATAAGAAATATTATATGGTGTCACAGGCATTATAATTCAACCCAGGCATTAAAAAACAAACAAACCAAAAAAAACGAGTGTTTGGAAACAAATGCTAATATTTTACAACTTTTTAGAACTGATCAAAAAATCACATAAAAATCTGCATGAATTCAGTATAAGTTGTATATTTTTTTTATCAAATTGCTGTTCTTGATCAAAATTTTCTTTCATTACAGGATGCTGCTGTGTTAAGTCAGGACCTGATCAGTCGAAAGATCAAAGAATACAACATGATGAGGTATGCAGGACTCCACATTGCCCCCTGGAGTTCAATCACAACCCTCATCCTTGTACCTACCCATTTGGACTTTATGCCATCCTAATGTTTGTTAAAATGTGATTTTTAAAAACAAAATTATGTGTGTGTGCCCTTACATCCGATTCAGTGCGCCCAGCAGCAGATCTGAACCCTCCCCCAAATCCTCCCGCCAGTCCCTCAGCATCAAGCAAGCCTTCTTGGGAGGTAAAACAGACAGCAAGAGCCACAGCCCTCATTCGCCCAAAACAGGAGAAGATCGACGGGCTCTGAGAGGTAGAGACAGCAGCTCCATGAACTTAAGTCAGAGGCCATTCTTACTCCCTGATAGCTCAATAATGTTATATGTTTGTGTTTTTTCCGTTAGATGACTCCAGTCCACCACGGGACAGAGCTGCTTGGAAAATTGGTATTGCAGGCATCATGAGGAAGCCCTTTGAGAAAAAGACTCCAGCAGGGGTTACATTTGGGGTGCGGCTTGATGACTGTCCAGCTGCACAAACTAACAGGGTGAGTTTAGATATATCTTCATGTACGTGTGAGAAAATGCTGCGTTCTTTAGTATCCAGAAAAGGAGCATAGAATTTAATTTAAAAAGACTCAAAATGATACTTTTTTTTTATCACCCCGTCAGTCAAAGCAGTCTCTACATTTAGCATGATTTGGCTGGCTGTGACTTATACAACCCATTACTGCATGCACATAGAGTCACTGGCCCTTTAAAGAGTCAATGTTTTTTGTCAAATATTTAGAGATAGAGATATACAATAATAACACACTAACATAATTGTTGTGTCAAATCTCCTCCTGTTGTGTATGGTGCAGTTTGTTCCTCTGATTGTGGAGGTGTGCTGTAATGTGGTGGAGGAGAGAGGTCTGGAGTACACAGGCATCTACAGGGTTCCAGGAAATAACGCTGCCATCTCCAGCATGCAGGAGGAGCTCAACAGCAAAGGCATGACTGACATCGACGTCCAGGAAGACGTGAGTGACTGACAGCTGGGTTGCTCAGCACAGTGTGCCGCTTTCTGTCATCATCGTTTAGCAGTGACAGAGTTGTACTGAAAGCACTGCTTCACAATAATCCTCTCTATACCTTCACTCTCTACAGAAATGGCGAGATCTCAATGTCATCAGTAGTTTACTTAAGTCCTTCTTCCGAAAACTTCCAGATCCTCTGTTTACAAACGGTGAGCTCTATAAGATACAAAAGACAGTCATGATAAAGAAAAAAGTGGATTCTCTTCACCCTAACCCCTCCTGCTCTATTCACAGAAAAGTATGCTGAATTTATTAAAGCCAACAGAACAGAAGACTCAGTGGAGCGATTAAAGGAGCTCAAGAGGCTGGTGAGTGAAAAAATAACATGAGCAGCACATAAGTCTTCTACTTTAAACTATGAATCCTGAAATGTTTTTCTTTGCAGATCCAGGAATTACCTGATCATCACTTTGAAACTCTGAAATTCCTTTGCGCTCACCTCAAGAAGGTGTCTGAGAACTGTGAAAAGAATAAGGTATGACCGCTGGCAGCATCTGTTACTGCTAATTTTTTAATTTAAATGTCAGCCTTCTTCGATCCTTCTGAAATCATGTGTCTTTGAAGAATATTTCATTTAACTGGACTTATCCTTACCTCATCTTTTTTAGATGGAGCCTCGTAATCTGGCGATAGTGTTTGGTCCGACACTGGTCAGAACCTCTGAGGACAATATGGCCAACATGGTCAATCACATGCCAGACCAGTGCAAAATAGTGGAGAACCTCATCCAGCAATTTGACTGGTTCTTCACTGATGAATGTGATGAGGACCCTGTTGTATGTGGCAACTCTTTTTTTCTTTTCCCTGTTTTATTTCTAAGAGATAAACAACTGCTACAATAGATCACCCTAATGTTAAGTTATTTAGTTAGGACCTGTGTTTCTAAAGCTGCACTAACATTGTTTTTAATATGATCTATGGTTGAAATTAGTGAATCCTGCTGAGGTAGTGAAACCTTTCAATTTACTCAGCTTTTTCAGTTTCAGTTGTTATTTTGGTTTCTACCTTCATATTTTGTGCTTGTAATCTTTTGTCCTTGTGTCGAGTTATTTATCCTCTCTCTCGTGTTCTATTCTTGTCCAAACTGTTATTCCCCTCAGACCACAGCTGAGCAGGAGAGCACAGTGCAGTCTCAGCCTGTGCCCAATATCGACCACCTGCTCTGTAACATTGGGCGCACTGCAGCTTCACCGGGCGAAGTCTCAGGTACATTTCAGAGCATTTTCTCTTAGGAGCAGCACCCATGCCTCACCACATCAAATAATTTGTCATGCCAGCAATGATATATTTCATTTTAAGTATATTAAAGTTTTAGATATTTGCCATAGATTTTTTAAGACTAATTATAAGCACTGTGTCATTTATTAATGCAAAGACAATGAATGCCTAATCCCATCATTTTCAATTCTTTGAGCAAAAACAAGTCTACCAAATTGTATTTGTTTCCGTTGAAGCAAGCCTTCTTCAGTAGTTTTTTTTCAATGAATTTGCTTTCAATTTAAACATTGGAAAACTGTTGAACAACACCTTGCAATAAGTCTACTTTTTATTAATTATTTTTGGATAAGGTTTGTTTTGTTATGTTATGTTGAAGTTGTTGTTTTGTTGTTTGTTTTTTTGCCCAAAGAAATCAAATTGTCCTCAAGTTTTATTTTCATTTATTTGTTTGCTTTCCTCTTTTCCTCTTGCTTAAGTCATTTTTTCTCCCTGTGCTTTACCTGTGTTGAGACGACGACTCCTTTTCTTTCAGTTCTTTTCTTCCCCTCCTCCTCGTCTCTCACATAATCCCGGCATGTTCTTTCCCAAAAAATATCTAACAAACAAAAACAAACGATGGAAGTGTTAACCCCTCTGACCTCTGCCCTTCTGTGTGTAGTGTGTTGTTTTTCTCCCTTATCCCTGTCCAGCACTCACACATTACCCAATCTTGACACAGGCCAAGTGGGCGGCGTCTATCACTCGATGATGTCACTGATGGACTCTGTTTTGTCAGTGATGGACAGCTGGGACTGTAGGAAGAAGGACGAGTGTTGTGCCCAGTGTAGCTGCCTAGTCTGCAGAAACCCGCAGCTCTATTAAATTTGGGCGAAAGGAGGAAAAAAGATAAAAAAGAAAGAAAGAGAAGTCGATGTTTGTCATTTTTCCTGTGGTGTGCACGTCTCATATTTAAACTAATACCCTAAAATTGAGAGGATACAGAGCGATGCTGCTGTACTTTGTCTGAAAGCCCTTCTGCTGTCTCCTGTTGTCTCTAAAGCTGATCGCAAGGACAAGTAGCATGGTACGGTCAACCTCAGGTTCTCTCCCGGTCATGTGGCATAATCTGTCATGATGTCTTAGGTTGGGGTCGTAGTGGTGGGACTGAGCTGGATGTTCCCCAGCACACACTCAAACACACCAACACATACAACCATGTTCAGACCGATAAGTAGCCAATGAGTTGTGGATGCAGAGGCACACAAATAGCAGTTGACGCATGGAGATGTAGTGGTATTTGCAGAGACAGGTTTCTTTTGGTTCAGGTGCTTCCTCTTGTGTTTTTTTCTGTTTGATTTGTTTACTTTGATGTCTTTATTTGAAAAATCTCTGTCAGTGTTTAACATTAGAAACATCTAATTCTCAACAACAAATTCTCCTGGTGTCTGGTCATAAAAGGCTATTACACTGCTTATCTTTGTCAGCTGCCGTTTGCTTGTTTTCTGCCTTTTGTAAAGTGTGACCAGAAAGTTTTTGTGAACTCTTTGTTTTGCTTTTTTGTTGTTGAGAATGACAGGAAGTTAAAGGGTGCTCAAGAGTTAATCTAGTATTGAGTAAGAACAGTTTCTCCTTATGCAAAGGCTTGCCTGCGCCAGCTGTATCGACCACCACAAACACTCACTGATCTGTTCAGCTCAGGCCCCTTTAGTCACTTACTCAGAGCCAAATGATCACTCCTTCTCCTCTGTGATGTCTTTGAGTTGGGAAAGAATGCCTTCAGCTGGTTGGTGGCTATATGTGATGCTCTGTGACTGACATGTTTGTCCGTGATGTGCCGTCGTTCCATCGATTACATCGAGCATGAGCTGCTTCTCTGTCTCTTGGTTACTGCCGGGTTTCACCTCCTTTTCTCCCATCAATCATCTCAGGCCTCTTCTAGAGCTTTCTCCACTTTGTTCATATATTGCTTAGTGTGGTTACTCGTCCTGCTGTCTCTCTGAGCTGAAAATGTGTCATCTGCTTTAATTCAGCTGCTCTCATTACACTCATTATATCCATCAGTCTCACTCCTTACCTTCAAATCTGCCTTTTTCTTTCTTTTTCTCATAACTGTTTTTCACAAGTCAGAGTTGACCGACATTCTAATGACTCTCTTCTCTTCAATACAGATTCAGCATGTAGTGACTCTTCCAAATCAAAGGTAATGTCCCCCTCTCCTCACTATTTCATTCGTCTGTCTTTGCTGAATTTGTATTCTTAAGCTTTGTTTCGTTTCTGTATCAGCAGGGCTTGTGGGGGTCAGGGAAGGATCAGTGTAGCAAAGAGATGCTGCGCTCCTCCTTCTTCGCCAGTCGCAAGCGCAAGAAGCCGAAGGACAAAGCTCAGCTCAGCAGTTCAGACGACGATCTGGACTCTGTGTTCTCCAAGAAGGAGCAGCCAGAGGAGAGCCAGCCGCAGCCTCTTTGGTCCTCAGATAGCCGGAACGAGGAGGAGGAGGAGGAGGAGGAGGGGAGACTGACGAAGCCAGTGAGAAAGAAAAGCACCGGAACAGCTCAGAGGAACAGCTCGACACACCCAACAGGAAGGAATCTCTCTTCAGCAGCCTGCTATCACAGCCCTCCCCCTCCCTGCCTCCAGAGCACATGTCCTCCACCCTCCAATCTAGCTCCCCTTACGCCTCACCCCCCCACTCCCCGAGTCTCAGCTACCGCATGCCCATGGCTCATCAGTCCTCCCTGTCCGACCCGCCTTCAAACTACGACGACACAGTGTCCGACCTCGGTACGATGAATAGCACCAGCTCTCAGGCGTCGGTACCCAGAATGAGGCGAGGCAGGGCGGCAGCTGTTGGTCCAGAAGCAGGCCCCAGTGGACTGGGAGCCGAGGTTTGCTCAATCACCTCCGACTACTCCACCACCTCCTCCATGACATTCCTGACTGGAGCTGAGCTCAGCACCATCAGTCCCGAAGTGCAGTCCGTGGCAGAGAGCAGGGGCGGAGATGATGCCGACGATGAGAGGAGTGAGCTCATCAGTGAGGGGCGGCCAATGGAGACAGACAGCGAGAGCGACCTCTCTGTGTTTACAGTTGGGAAAAATGATCAACGGGAACTGCAGGAAGCCCCTCGACCCCTCTCCTCCCACAGGCTCATTGAGTTTGACACGCTCTCTAGAAAGAAAGCGGCTCAGCAGAAAACAAACAGCGAGTCTTCTCTGGAGGGAGCTTGGAGTGATAAAGATTCAAACAGACTGTCGTGTGTGTTAGACTCAGTCAAAGGTCGCTCCACCGGCAGCCTCAGCTCCTCCTCTCGGGGTGAATTAGACAAAGCAGAGCCTGCATGGAAGCTGAAGATCACCGACCGACTTAAGGTGCGTCTACGGATGTCCGTTGACGACATGTTCGGCGTGGGCAGCCAGAGGAGTCGATCCCCGGAAGGCCGTAGCAAGAAGAAGAACATCAGACGCAGACACACCATGGGCGGTCAGAGGGACTTTGCTGAGCTGTCTGTTCTGGGTGACTGGCAGCACGTCGGCATTGGATCGGGCTCTCGGTCGGAGCTGTCGGCTGTGGACCAGCTAAAGCCAAAGTGCAGCTCTCAAGACTTCTCCATCCGGGACTGGATTGCCCGCGAGCGCCATCGCACCAGCAACCCTGAGGTCAGCCTGGACCTTTCTGAGCAACAGGGGGCACTGTGCAGAGGAATCTCCCAGAGCCTGGGAGCCTCGTCCTCCTCTGAACTCCCACATCGACCGGCTGACGTGCTGAACGGGGATATTCCACAGAGTAAAAATCTGAGCCTCTCTGCCACCGCACACCCTCATAAACTCTCCAGTTCGCAGGTGGTCCATTCGCGCTTCTATCAGTATCTGTGAGGGGTTGGAAGCGTGTGTGACTTTGTGTGTTCTCTGTTATGAGATGTGTACTTACTTGGGGGTCCGTCATTATACGTCTGTTGTGTGACCAATATAAGTGAATGAGCATGTTGTACAAATATTGTCTGGAGTGTCTGTAACCTGTGTGTTTGTGTGTGTGTGTGTGTGTGTGTGTGTGTGTGTGTGTGTGAGTGTGTGTGTGCTTGTGAAAAGAGAATTACTGCACACAGGGATTGGTGATCTTGCTCATGTAGAAGCATGAAACAAAATGTTGTTCATACATTTTTTTTGTTTGTTTTAATTGACAAATTACTTTGGGATGGTTCAGCAGGAGGATTTCTTCCCTCCTCATTTTAATCCCCATTATGCTGAAGACTGAGAAGGCCTGATGCTCATGAAACAACGAGCTTATGAAGTTTGTGACAGGAAGTGTGTACTGGGACACTCGAGTTAAGATTGTTTCAGGTTTTAGCAAAGTGGCTTTAAGGATGAACTGACTTTTAGAATGAATAGGAAGTAGTGAAAAAAAACTTGAGATTTTTAGTATTGCAGAGGAGCTATTTTTGTGTAAAGAAAGTTATGATGTTCAGAATCGGTGAGTCTCTCAGTAACCAAATGAAGAATGTGCAGACATGCTTGCTGTAAAACTGATTTAAAGCTTTAGATGCTTGTGTTTCATTCTAAAGTGTATATACCCCTATTTTTCTGTGTACTACTTGAAAAGTGTTTTTGGTACAAGCCTGTGTGTGGACTGCCTTCGAGCTCTTGCTGTCATAGGGGCCTTTCCAAAGGTACAAACGTGAAGAGGAAACACTGGACTTATGCAAAATGGAAAGAGTTCTTTTTCATCCCTGTAATGTGGTTTCAAGAGCAGTGAACAACATCCCTCTGATGCAAACGTTATGCTGTGTTAATGTTCCTGGTTCGCAAACATCAGAGGAAGAAAAAAAAAAATGGGTATCCAATCAGAAAATCATGTTTCTTCACAATAGGAAGTGCCTCACAATGAAATGTAAAGGGTGCCATATTGTCTTTGTTGAGACACATGAAGATGTTACTGTGAATGACATTTTTATTGTTGACTCTGTCACTCTACAGGTTGTTACAAAATGCCGAGCTTCCATTCCTTAGGCATTCCACTCTGGTCTTAACATGTTTTTTTAACTTTTTTTTTTTTTCTCTCTCATTTTTTGATTTTAACAGAACTTGAATTTTAAATATTCCTTGTAAAATAAGTAACTTAAATGTACATATAATTGCCATGTGTTAGCTGCTTTACTTTTCATTTACATCAAATTGCAGGATTGCTTACAGTATTGTGATGATGGTAATGATGATGCTCATGAGGCCTGTGTGGGTGTTGTGGGCAGTTTGGTACTTGTCAGTTGGGGGGGGGGGGCATTTGTACCAATGCTGTGTTCCTCTGATTGTTAGAGGGGTGTGAACGGACTCCTGAAACACTGGAAATAAATTTTGTCAATGGCACATGCTCATGATTGGTTTTTCATTTTCAGATGAGTGTTCACCAATCCAATACTACTGTATTCTCTAAAGACTTTTTTTTTTGACCATCAAGGGGCACCAGAACATTGGTCATTTACATTTCCTTACCGATTTTGTCCAACCTCAAAATAATTGGCATTTACATTACTTATAAACTACTTTGAAATGTCTGAGTGGGTATTCAAAGAACCTGAATTCAGAAGAATGATTTTCCAATGACTTTTAGTGGTATGTAGATATTCTTTATGAGCCTTTTTTGCAGAATCTATTTAGACTTGTAACAGTATGAAAAACAGGTGTGACTAAATAAAAAAAAAAACACCCTTAAGGATTGTTTGCATTGCCCTTCTCTTTTTCTGAATTATCAATTTTACTACAATACCTTCATTGCCCAGCAGAGGGCGCACTGAATTGAGAAAAATATCAACAATGCAGCCTTATACAGTCTATAGTTGCAGCACATGTCACTCAGCAGTCACACATTTTGTTTAAACACTAAACCACAAAGAATGACAGCTGACAATACATTTCAAAATGCTTTATGTACAAGTTACAGGTACAACATAAAGACTTAAACAATATAAGATTTATACACTTTTTACATCCGCTGACTAGAAACCACTGATAAAACTAACAGAGTCATGGGAAGAGAGTTGAGCCATTTAACACACAAGTCGTTTAAAAGAAAAAGACTCACCAGCATGTCAGCTTGGAAGAACTGCAAACTAAATCCTTAACATTTTTATCAATATTATACCATCTTTCAAAGAAATATACAATGATGTTCTAATCAGTTCTTTCCATGTTTTCAGGTTAAATGTGCCATACTTTGAGATTTAAACATCCCTCACATAAATCTGGCTGTCATTTAAGGAAAATCAATCCTAATCTGGGATCTGGATTTGAGATATCAAGGCCTATCCATATGTAAGTATTCACTTTCAGTGCAGTGTGGGCTCCTACATGAACATTTCATCTGCAGTAAGGCACAGTGACTAACTGAACAAGTTTGATTCAGAGACATGGAGGGAAATGTGATTTCTTACCAGCTTTGTTTGGTCACTTTTTTTTTGTATCATAAAACAAGTTAAACATTGTGCCCATGTTTTGTAAAGCAAAGTAGCCAGACATCATCCATCCATAGACACCACAGAGAACAGAGAAACCATGAGAAACAAGTAGCAGTTATCATACTCATGAATACAATAATCTTTAAATTGGCCGGCAGCTTAATCAGAAAGTGAATTCTCAACATTATGATCCGATCCGATGTATGTCATGTTGATCCTCTTTTTGTCCACTAGAGGGAGCACTAGTCCACATGTTCCAATAGCAGAGAGCGATATGACCGTTCACATCGGTGGTGTATTTGTCCTCCTGACCAGCAGCCAGCAGGACGAGGAGAGGAGAGGAGAGGGGATGGAGGCCTCTGAAGCCTCTTTGCACATGCAGGTGCTGCCCCACAGAGTGAGGCAGCAGGTGTTGTCATTTGATTGGGTATGTGAGGTCTTGTTGCATATTGTGCTGTAGTATCTGGCTGGTCAGAGGAGAAGGTTTTAACTGTCATTCTCGTCCTCCTCATTCTTTGACCGCTTCTCCGGCACTCGGAAACACTCCTCAAAGAAGTTGACCAGGGACTGGCTGAGGTGCTGCTGTGTGTCTTCACTGTGTAGGAAATGTCCCTCATCAGGGTAGATCTGAAGATAAAAACACAACTTTTAATAAAGAGCTGCACCACAACCATATTTAGTTGATAAAGCTTTTCTTGTTAGTATATTTAACATTACGTTTTGAAAACTAAGAATTTCCTAAGTCTTATATTTAGGAGCAACAATAGAAAACCCTAAAGTATGAAATTCACAGTATAAAACTGAAAATGCAGCATCTCCTCACATTAGTGTTACAAACAGAAACTTCAAGGATAGTTCAGGAAATTAATTAAACAGTTTGAAGCAAAAAATTAACCCCAAAAATTCTCTTTAAAGTTAGTGACATAGATAACTGGTATATAAATCTCCATCAACATATGAAGATCACGTTCCTAACACAGATTACACTTAGAAACTTAGGCTCACCTGTAGAGTGTAATTGGCCTTCTCGCTGATTAAATGATTGATAAACTTGGCTGAGTGCTGGAAGTGAACCTTTTCTGTGGTAATGAAGAAGAGAAGATAAGACTGTTTAATAATCTCTGTTTCAGCATGGGGTGTGTCTTATAATAACATAATAATGTATCCGTTACCGTCAGCTGTTGGATGAATTATTAAGTATTGCTTCTGCAGGAGCTGGCCTGCTCTGTGTTCTAAATTTGCCATCTAAAGGAAAGAGAAACATCCACATCCTTAAGTAATGACTGTCCTGGTCCACTTGAGCTACAAAACTTGGTGAAAGATTGAAATGACGAGCTGGACCTTACCGTATATACTCTGGAATCTGTCCGCGAGCCGAGGTATCGTTCTGAAAATGCTGACGCTGTGATTAAAAAATAGTAGAATTAGAAGGCAGTTTCGCTGTCAGACAATGGACCCTAAAGCTTTTTAAATATCTATGGAAAAATATATCTGTAAATTTATACCATATATTTCAAAATCTGTGATGGGGGAGACTGCCGTGCCACATTTAAGTTCAGTGAACTCCTCAGAGCTCAGAAGCATTGTGGCTAAATATCCTCCATAGGCCTAACAGAAGGTAGAAAAACATATCAAGAAGTTTGATTAATTCTACTTGAAGAATAATGTGAATTTCATGTCAAACATTTGCTGTACATCCGGAAAAGTTTATTGAAATCCTAATGACAGTGAATCTTAAATCCTTACTTTTCCATAAACTCCCATTCGAGTTTTATCGATGTATGTCTCTTTGGAAATCAACCTTAGAAAAGGAAGAAGGTTGTTACAACAACAAAACAACACATGTGTTATGTTTTGGTCTCAGCCTCTGTTGTGTTTTTTTCAGTTAAAGCAGAGGTGTCACCTGAGAGCCTCCAGCTGGTCCCTCTCCTCCAGTTTTCCTAGTTTCCTCCTGACTTTGTGGAGGAAGTTGGTGCCCTGGAAGCCGCTGCCGTGTCCGTCAAAGCGGATGACGATGGTGCTGAAGCTGCTGACCAGAACCGTGGCCCAGTCCACCTGGAACTGCTCCGACACCATCTGTCCCCCGGGCGTGCCGTCCCTGTGAGAAACACAGACGCATCATTACATTAGATGGACACATTTTATTCTCAGTATCATAACCTTACAATTAAGAAAATTTATCCACGAAGAATGATTGGACTCTTTTTCTCTCATTGAAATCTTAACTTCAAAGAGTGGACAAAACACCAAGGACAGCTCAATATGGGTGCTGGTAGCGCAGTGGTTAGGGTGTGCTCCCCATGTATGGAGGCTGTAGTCCTCTATGCGGGCAGCCCAGGTTCAAATCCAACCTGGGGCTCCTTTCCCGCATGTCATTCCCCACTCTCTCTCTCTCCCTGATTTCAGACTCTATCCACTGTCCTATCTCTCAAATAAAGGCACAAAAAGCCAAAAAATAAATCTAAAAAAAAAAAGAACAGCTCAATGTGTAATAAAGCCCAACACCACAAACTCTTTCAAACCTCCACAGGGCTGAACTTTGAATTATCAAAAGCATTTTTTTTTACTAATATGCTATCTACTGCAACATTCTCGTTAAAAAACATCATACTCTAGCTTTACATTTCAGACACCATTCATGAAGCTATTGTTTAATTGATTTAAAGAGAGTGGGGGGGGGGGGGTGACATGTGGCAAATGCAGAGGACGGACTCAAACCCCGGACAGCTGCGAGGAGTGTATCTCACGTCAAGATCTTCCAAACATGTTCTGACTTTTCCAAATTTAGGGAAGAGAAATGACCTGATAGCTTTTTATTGGAATAAAAACAGATGTATTGATACTCACACCAGCAGCAGTAAGGGGTAATGGGCTGTATCTATGAACCCAGCTGGCTTCAGAATCTCCATGGTCAGAGCTGCAACAGAAAAAACTCTTACGTACATGTGCCTCTTATGATATCAGTGGACTGACTGTAACACAGATTTGATTGGATCTGCTTATGGACACATACTGTAGTCGTCTATGATGATGGTCTTGTTTCCACTTTGGGCATCTGCATGTTGTTGAAGGTGATGTTCACTAGTTCATTCTTCTCGACGTCAAACAGCTCTGCAAATAAAAACGTAAAAGAGCTCCATGGTTAACATTTATTTATGTTAAATTGATTATCTATGAAAACTAGAGAGAATGCAGACAGCACTCACTCTGTTTGTCCTTGGTCCTATAGACAGCCACACTCGGCACACTTGGACCTACAAAGAACAAAATCAGTTAACAGGAACACAACAATAGAAGTGAATTGTATAAGCCTGATTTGGTTACATGATTTCCAGCAACAAGGCACTGACAGAAGGCTCAGATGCCTCCACCATACTGTAATCAAGCCTCTGAAACTCAATCCACATTGTGCTTCCTCATCTTAAACAGCCTTAAGGAGCAGTCCTCTCAGCACGCTCTGCGGTTAATAATCTACTTCTATCCCGCAAGGAAGGAGCTTATTATTTCACAATGGAGCTACTCTCCAAAGATCCAATTAATGAAGAAAGCCACTGGCACTTTTCTCTCTCTGGAGATGGGCCCCTATACAAATCAGCTTCCATAGAAACCACAGAGTTTTAGCCACAAAAACCACGCTAGGTTGTCTCAGAGTAACAAACACAAAAAAACACAATCCTAAGCAGTGAGCTCATTTTTGCTTTTATTTCTGATCCGAGGGATTCAGCTGTAGTTCGAGGTGACCTGCTAATGTCTGGTTCGATACAAGCCCTCAACACAGAGCATGAATCCAGTTACCTTCTCTACTGAGCACGGCCTTCTACCTCCCTACAACACTCTCTTTCACAGGGATGTAAACACTCTCAGTCCGCCGCTTTAAAAAGAGCATCTTCTCAAGAGGTTCCAGGTCAAGGA